AATTACACTAAAACCATGGAAATAATTAAATTGCAATTAGAAAAATTAAAACTAAAAGGCAATTAAAAATGAACAATTTTTGACATTTAAAAAAATAAGATTTAAAAATCTTTGACAAATAACAAATTAGTTCTTTGTTTTAAAGTTTGCCCAGCTATCTTCAATCTCTGGTGATCAATTTTATTGATTTTGTATTGTCTTCCTGTAACAGTTGTTGGTATATTAATCATTAACAATAAGTTTGTTGATGGAATCCAGCAAACATCATCTCTAGAAGGCCAATAATATGACCTTAAAGGGTAACATGGATACATAAATCTAACTTGAAAGTCTTTACTTTCAACATCAATTTCCTCAACTAGTCCGATCCATTGGAAAGGTATCTGTACAAGCTTACAAGATTGCTCTGCCTTCACTATTCAAAAAGTCTTAAAATTGCATTCTTCATTGCAATGCAAAGAGTTGAATCTTGTTGTTTCAGTCTGTTCACATGAAACTTAAATTTCTCTCAGCAGTAAAAAGAGTTGCATTCTGCTTCTGCTGCCAATTTGACTGGTTTTACATATTTTGTTTCTAATCCTAGTCAGTGCTCAGTTTCTCCACACTCACCCTTAGGTGCTTCTGATCATGGTTTGGTCTCTCTAAAACTATTATCTCATTCTTCTTTACCATCAGAATCCCCCTATCATTGTACATCTTACAACTACCTTAAAGTAGAAATCTTTCGTCTTCCTGTTAACAAATGTGCTTCTTACATAACTTTGTGGATTCAGGCTGGCATGGATTCCACAATTCCAGGTCAAGCCTCACTCTTCTCCATGGTTTTCCTCACATTGTGCTGCTGAAATTGCTAATGGAAACCATTACTTCCATATCTATCAGCAAAACAATTCTCCAGAAAACAGACGCCTGTTTATTACTGCTAGGAACCATTGTAAAAAGGTTTTGTCTAATGCCAAAGCCTGCTGTTCTCAGATCATGAAATCTTGTATTTCATCACAAAAATTAGGCTCTCGTGACTTCTGGAGAATCTTTAATAGTATCAATAATAAGGGCAAGTCTGTAATTCCACCTCTTTTGTATGGTTCAGACTTTGTCACCTCACCTAAAGACAAAGCTGAATTGTTTGCCAAGAACTTTTCATCAATATCATCTCTGGATTCCACAAGTTGCGTTCTACCTGATATAGCCGTCAAACAGGTTGATCCGTTGCTCGACATCCGTATCACTCCAGCTTCTGTATCTAAAGTGATTTCCTGCTTAGACTCTTCTACAGCTTGCAGCCCGGACAACATACCTGTTATAGTCTTGCAGAAGTGTTCTCCGGAGCTGTCGTCTATCCTTTCAAAACTATTTAACATGTGCTTATCAGAGTCTTGTTTTACAGCCTTCTGGAAAGCAGCATCTGTTATCCCTATTTTTTTAAATTCTGGAGAGCGATCTGATTCGTCTAACTACTGTCCCACTAGTTTTCTTCCTATCATAAGCAAGGTTTTTGAATCTTTAATTAACAAACACTTAATCTCTCATCTTGAATCTCATAACCTACTTTCTGATCATCAATATGGATTTCGATCTTTTCGTTCTATGGCTATTTGCTAACAGTAATAACCGATAGGTTTTATTGCGCATTAGATAAAGGTGGAGAGGTAAAGGCTCTTGACATTTCTAAGGCGTTTGATAAAGTTTGGCATGCTGGTCTTCTCCATAAGCTTTCTTCTTACGGTGTGTCTGGAAACATCTTTAAGACTATCAAATTCTTCCTTTCCAATCGTAGTATAAAAGTTGTCTTTGATGGACAGCACTCTTCTTCTTATTCTGTAACCTCAGGGGTTCCTCAAAATTCAATCCTTGGCCCTATACTCTTTTTAATTTACATTAAAGATCTTCCAGATATTCTCTCATCTAAGGTGGCATTGTTCGCTGATGATACTACCATTTATTCTTGTCACAATAAGAAGCCAACTCCCTCTGATTGCTTGCAGGAGGCATCTGAGCTTGAAAGGGATCTCACTTCTGCTACAGCATGGGGCTCACAGTGGGTCGTGAACTTTAATTCAAATAAAACTTTCAGCCAATTGTTATCGCAATAATTTAGACCTTCCTATATTTATGAACGGTAACGTACTCGATGAGTCTCCTACCAAAAAACTCATTCTCGTGTTACTCGTCATTCAATTAAGTCTCATCCTTTTTCTGTTACTGTTCCTAAGTGCTCCAAAAACTTTTATTCGTCTAGTTTTTTTCCTCGAACATCAGTTTTTCGGAATTCGCTTCCTTCATCTTGCTTTCCTCATACATATAATATGCAATCTTTTAAGTCGTCTGTCAATCGTTATCTTGCTCTACAATCTTCATCTTTTCTCTTCCAGTAACTTCCAACACTAATTAGTGGTTGCTTTCAGCCTTGTTGGAAGCGAAGATGTTACACCATTTTGAAATTGAACTTTTTATTTTTTAAATTTTTGTGTGTTTTAGCCATAATTTTTATGTTCCTTAGCCTGAAAAATAGTTAGGTAGAAATTTTTACCACTATTTAACAAGTATTTCATAAATTAAATTTAATTGTGTTGTATAATGAGCCTAAAAATTCATAAATTTTAAAACAAAACATTCTGATTCTAAACATTTTTGAATTAATTTTTACAATATTTCTAGGGAATTATATATGCTCTCATAATTCAAATGATAAAGAAAATCTCTTAAAATTGTATTTTAGGAGATTTTCTTAAAGTTTTCAAATGATATTTATGTTAAATTAAAATATGGAAAAGTGTCTTTTTCCATATTGTAATTTAACATAATTATTATTTTTATTAAATTGTATTTTTCATTAAATTGCATATTTATAAAATTGCTAAAACAGTATTGAAATAAATTTTTTTTAAACATCGACATAAATACTTATTTAATTTACTTTATAGAATAGTTAGATTCTTTTTCATTTATTTTTTATTGTGTAAATTTTTTTAGTAGTTTTAGTCTTAAATGTTAAAAAATAGTTTTGTATTTGCACTTTCTTTTTGTCTGAAATAAAAATGGTTTTGTATTTAAGCTTTCTCTTTTCCTAAAATCAATGTGCAACTAACATTAAATCACTTTTTCTTTAAAAAAAAAATATTATAAATAAACTTAATAAACCTTGCGAATTTCCTTTTCAAAATCAAAAAACTGTGTACTGAGTCTTTTGCGAGAATCCAATTGGCTTTCACGTTGATCCCAAAGTTCTTCAAGCTGCATTGAATGCACAACAATACTTTTAAGTTCTTTTCCAATTTTCATTTTAATGGCGCCTTGATCAAGAGATTTCTCGGATGCACACTAGAGTTTTCAATAGACATACTTTATATTATGCTATATTTTACAGTCATGTTGAGAAAAAAACATGAAATTCGGACAAAATATGAATATAAACCTTTATAAATTTTGAAAACCATAAACATAGCTAAACTGTTAAGATAATAAAAAAGATATTTAAACTAAGATAATAAAAAAGATATTTAAACTCAACTTGGTAATGTAGATGGTACACTTACCAAACTTAGGTCATCCAATATTCTTTGACCTTCTTCTTGCAAAACTTCTGCTCTATTGATAATCTCTTCTTTTTCTTGCTTCTGTCTGTTGATTGTGGTAACAGAGGCATCTACATTTTCATTGGACTGATTGCTTGTGAGTTCTTCTTCCAAAAGAAAAATACTTTTCAAAATCTAAATTATAAAATAAATGAAGACAGAAAAGTGAAAAAAAAAAATACTTAAAATATTATTTACTAAAATTTTAACTTTAATTATTTAATAAATAACATACTTCATCTGTGTGATCAATAAAAGCAATCACCATAGTAACAATGTTAATTCTATGTTTTATTCTTTCTGATAATGATAAAAACTTTATTTGAAGACTTTCTATTTTATCGCTAAGTTCATTTTTCTTTTTCTTTTTCTGTATTTCAAGATTACGTGATTTTATTCTGAGTAATTCCTTTTCATAGTTTGCAAGTTCAGCAAATAACTGTTGATGTTCATTAAGAAATGTTGTTGCTAATTGTTGTCGATCCCCAACAATTGTATGAGTGTCCAAAAAGTTCTCACCAATATTAGTAATCCAATTTGATATTATTTCAATATCTGAGTTTAATGCACTAAGGTCAGCATCTCCAGTGAACTGTCTTCCATCAGTCTTAGCCATAATACTTTTGTGAACATTGTTAAGCTTTTTTAAAAGCTCAGCTACCTTTACATCATTTGTTTTTTTTAAAAGCAACTGACCTTCACGCAAAACCAATGAAGATATTTGAATAGCTTCTTTACGATACTTTGCTTTTTCAAGATCATTCGTTTTGTTATCGAGTTTGGCAGTTATCTTTTCTAATGATTCAGTTACCTAAATAATTTTTAAATTTTTTTTAATAGATTTAATTAAATATAATTAATTATATCACATTAAATAATTTGAATTAAAATTGACAATCATGGTGATGATGATAATGATAATGATTATGATGATGATGATGATGATGATGATGATGACGATGATGATGATGATGATGATGATGATGATGATGATGATGATGATGATGATGATGATGATGATGATGATGATAATGATGATGATGATGATGATTTATGCAATCATACCGATTTAACAGATTCATAGAAAGTTAAAGATTGTTCCATAAGATTTCTTAAGTGATCAAGCTTCATTTGGAAAGAAATAAACAATCGATCTAGTTTACTTATCATATACTTTACTGCAGCCACATCAAAATGACCTTGCTGAATCAACCTTTGACCATCAGAAATAAGTTTTTTTGCTTCTTTATGTTTATTCTATAGAAGAAAATTATTTAGTATAAAATATATTTAAATAATTTAATTCTAAACAAAATGTAAGTTTATTATTTTATTATAGTTAGATCTAAAATGCATTACTATGGTGACGATAATTGTAATCACCACTATCATTACTGTTTACTTATGATGATGGTGATTATCTTTTTAAAATTATTTTATTTATAACCTTTGCCATAACTTTTAATTATAATCATGCCCTTCATAATATTAATAACATCATATTCGTATTTAATTGCTTTATTTCCAGATAATTGTCATTGCTACTATAATTTTTTATCTAGTAAAAAAAAAATTTAATAAAAAACTACTTTAAATGTTCCTCTTAATCATTGTGTTAAATTTATTTTTTTAGTATTATTTACATAATACTATATTTTAATATTTAATAGTTCACAGCAGCAATAGTTCACTAAATTTTAGTAAATCATTAACAAAAACAAGTTTAGCATTCTACCTCTTATAAATTTAATTTTATAACAAATCCCATGAGTAAGGTAGAAACCTTTCCCAAGAGTAAGGTACAGGTAGAGGTAGAACTAGTTGCAAAAATATTCTTATTTTAAAAATCCTTTAACTCATCTTAAAGGATTAAGTTAAAGTTCAAAAAAATTCTCATTTTAAAAATCCTTTAACTCATCTTAAAGGATTAAGTTCAAGTTTAAAAAAATTCTCATTTTAAAAATCCTTTAACTCATCTTAAAGGATTAAGTTAAAGTTCAAAAAAATTCTCATTTTAAAAATCCTTTAACTCATCTTAAAGGATTAAGTTAAAGTTCAAAAAAATTCTCATTTTAAAAATCCTTTAACTCATCTTAAAGGGTTAAGTTCAAGTTTAAAAAAATTCTCATTTTAAAAATCCTTTAACTCATCTTAAAGGATTAAGTTAAAGAGTTAAAGGATTCTTAAAATGAGAAAAAAAAAAAAAAAACTCTTCAAAAAAAAAACTCTTCCTAACATCTAGGAGAAACCAACTAGGCCATTGTTAGACATTCAAACTACTCCAGCTACTATTGCAAAAGAAGTTTATCATTTAAACTTTTCTACAGTTTGTGGTGTTTAGCTCCTATTGCCCAATCAGTCTTTTTACAATTATTAGCAAGATCTTTGAGTCTTTAATAAAAGAAACTTCTTATCTGATTAAAAACTCTCTGAGTACATTTTAATGAGACTGATAATTGACTCTCAGAGTTGTCAACCTCAGGATGAAAGCTGTCTTTTGGGGTATTTTTCCTTTTATTTCAAGTAACCTCTAGGGTACCACAAGGTCCCATTCTAAGCTTTCTCATCAATATAACTGATATTTTAGATAACCTTACCTCTACAGTGCCTCTTTTTGCTGATGAAACAACTATATACTTTAACTGATGACGCTACTATATTAGAACGGATTACACAACTATATATTCTAACTGATGACAAAACTTTAACTGATGACACAATTATTCTTTAACTGATAATACAACTAGCTCTAGTCTTGACATCACTTTTTGATTGCTTATAACAAGTTTTAAATCTAATGCTAAGTTAGCATCTGTATGGTAGCCTTTCTTAAGCTTCATTCTCATCATTTTTTTACTCCTGATTTCATTATCTAATTTTTATATTTAATACACTTTTAGAAATGATCTAAAAATGCATTTTAAATGTAGTTACACCTAGTCTAGCTGACAAGCCTCTGTCCCATTGTCCTAAGGTTGCATCCATCTCTATTTTCTACAAATAATACCATTGCTGCTTAAGTGTGCATGACCATCTTTTGCTCCACAAACCAAATTACAATCTCAATTAACATTACTGTAATTTCTTTTATGCTCAAAAACTTTTATTCATCTAGTTTTTTTCTAAAACATCAATACTTTGGAAATTTTTAAATTCACTTCTTTTTTTTTTTTTCTTTGCTTTTTGCACTCATACAGTATATAGTTTTTCAAGAATTCTGTCAACCATCTTTTTGCTTTTTGACTCAATTTTTTTAATTTCGATTTATTACTTCTTGACTCAAAACACAAGCAATAGTTGCTTGAAGTAATGTTAAAAATGAATTTATTTAAAAATAATAATTAACAAATCTCAATCCTACAATTCACTTAATAATTTAATTGCTTTATTTAAGAATTTATATATATTTGTTTATGTATATGTTTTATAAAAATATTTTAAATAAAATGTTAGCAAAAGATACAATATAAAAACTAAAACACAAAATCAAGGGTTATCAACCTATTATATAAATTTCTAGAACATTATGATTGTAATTAATATTGTAATTAACCAATCTAATCTTAATTTGATTTAAAAAAAAGTTACCTCAAAAAGTTCTTTAAAATCATGATGTTTTTGCAGCATGATTGTTAGCTCTTCTGTTACTGAACAAGATTTAAGGCTTGCTAAATACTTTTCTCCATCAGTTAACAGCCATTGAGCACACTTTTTAAGATTAAATATGTTTAAGATATTTTTAAAAAAAATTATATATATAAGATTTAATTTAACATACTATAAGATTTAATTTAACATACTATAAAACAAATAAAATTAAAATCCCATTTAAAAGCTTTTGCTCACCACTTTAATTTCGCTGTCTAGCTTACATGAATCCACTGATTGCTCTAAGATTTTCTTTCTATCTTTCCAAGCCTCTTCTAAATTTTTTTTGCGATTATATAAAGCTTCAACTGTTCGTTCGATTCCATAATACGCTGATTTTGCAGCATTTCTACAGTTTATATCAGCGTGTGCAATGGCCTCCTCCATTAGCTCTAACAAAATGTTCCCTTTATTTTGAATATCCATGTCAATTGAATCTATAAAAAACTTCTATCATTGAATTGAATTTTTAAAATAAATTTAAAATAAACTATATTTAGACAATAAATTTTTGTTCAATGTAAAAAATTAAATAAAGATTTAATTTTTTACATTGAACAAAAATTTATTGTCTAAATATAGTTCAATAATAAAATTGGTTTTTTGTCTTTTTTTTTGTAATTAGCATATAAGCGTACAAACCTGTGGCATTTACTGAAAGAAAGCATGCAAGAAGTGTGTTTATTTGACTTTTTCATTTTTTTGGATGTAGAAGTGTCTTTATCTGTCTTTTTTCCCTTTTCCTTTTTTTGAATGCATTGTTTTACTTCAATAACTTTGTGAATGCATTGTTTTACTTCAATAACTTTCAATAAATTTTAAATTTAACCTTAACTTTTTAAAAAAATAAAATAAAATAATTAAAAAAAAAATTTTTGATTTTTTTTGTTTTTTTGTTGTTGTTGTTGTTGTTGCAAAAATAAATCTCTAATATTTAGATGATTCTGCCCAAACTTGATCCTTAGTTATTGTGTTTGTTTTTTGTTAGTCCCCAAAAAAATAAATTGAGTGCAATATGATTACAGTAATCAAAATTCAGCAAAAACCTCAAATGACTTTTTTCTGTTGACAGTTTAATCTCTGTTTTTGTAATCATGAACTATAATTATAAATAATTTAAAATTTTTTTTTAAGTAAAGTTTAGGAATCTTTGCCAATTTAAGTATACAGTATATAGTTTACATACTGCAAAAACAAACGATTTACTTTAATCAGTTAAATCAGTTTACTTGTGTTTAAATTTAATTAAGCGACGGCAGCCATAGACATTTTTTTTTATTTTTTTAATTCATATGCTATTTATTCTTCAACTTAAAATAAAAATTTATCTTAAATTTATATAACTATTATTTTGGATTAAAAATCATAATACATTTATTATATCATTATTATTATTATTATTATTTTATATGTATTATTATTGGCGAATGATTTTGAATATTATTTGATCATGACGCACGTGTTTAAAATTAACACGTGCTTGTCGATAGATTTTGTTTACCTCCATACTTCTTTTGCCGGATGAACGTCCGTATCAAACTTAGCATAAATGTTATATCCGTATTTAAAAAACGCATAGTTTTTTACTTTTCTTTGTTGGACTATTTCTTATTAACTAAGAAATTTGTTGTTTTTTTGATGTCATATTTTTTTTTTGAGGATGAAGTAATTATAGCATGTTTATTACTGTTTTATTAAACATACTTTTATAAACTGTTATTAGATTTTTTTTTTTATATATTTCATTTATAAAGGAAATCAGTTAACAACAAACAGTAGTTAAAGGTAAAATCAAGATAAGTTTATATCTTGAATAAAGTTTCAAAAAAATGTTAAAGGTTTTTTTTTTAATTTACGGTGTAACGACGTAAAGTGTAACGAATCTAATGTTTGTAGTTATACCTATACGCTATAGCGATAGCTATGTATGTAGTTTATTTTAGCTTTAAAAAAAATTTTAGCTGTTTTATTTTAGCTATTGTAGCTGTAAAATTTTAGCTATTTTAGCTATTTATTTTAGCTGTAAATTTTTAGCTATTTTAGCTGTAAATTTTAGCTATTTTAGCTGTAAAAAAAAAAACCTACAACAACCTATAAAAATTGTTTCAGGGTTAAAGATGTTTCACGTAAAAATTGTTTCAGTGTAGCCGTGGCGCAGTGGTTAGAGTGCTTGCTTAATAAGCAGGAGATCCAGGTTCGAAACGTGCCTTGGACATATTTTCGCGTCACGGTAAGGAAAGAGGCGTGAACTTCCTAGTTAAATGCACTTCCGCGGTGCTCTGTGACGAGACCGATAGGTCTTCTTGGAGCACTTAAATAACAATTTAAAAAATAAAAAATAAAAATTGTTTGAATTCTGAAAAAGTAAAAAATGTTCAACAAAAAATTATCAACGAAGATTTATTGCATCAGGCACCTTTATACTGACTGTCTTTGATACTTGTGCACATCTGTCACACAAGTTCTATACTTTAAGAACATATAATATAGTATTAGTATAATATAATACGAAAACAATTTATTTTGTTTTATCTTTTATTCTTGTCTTGTCTTCAACTGATTTAAATATTCACCCAATCATTCATCTGTTCACCCAGATATTTATCCAGCCGCTTTTTAAACAGGATAACAAAAGTCGAATCAATAACTGATTGCAGCAGAATACTACACTGAGACACAATGAAGTTTGTTAAAAATTTCTCTCTCTGCATGCAGTTCAATACTCTTTGTTGCGCCAGTTGTTGTGCCAGTCGTTGGTTGTGATCTCACTAAATTTTGATGCAGATTAACGGCTAAACTGGAAAGTTTTATTATTTTATCAATTTCGTAGATAGACTGGAAAATCTGGTTAAACTATCTGTTTATATCGGATTTATAATTACTTATTAAATAAATACAGATTGATATAATATTTTATTACTTTTTGATGTATAAAAGTTTATAAAACTTACAAAAAAATGATTTTTCATAACTTTATTAACAATTTTTAATAATTGGTAAAACCGATCTTTATTGGAATATATGAATAAACAAAGAGGTCAAAAATAGACGTTTGTGTCTTAATAATATATATTAAAAATAGACAATTGTGTCTTAAAACGGTACAAAAAGATAAAAAAAGAAATTGTTTCGTTCTCCTCTTGCGGATATTTATAGGAACATGGCGGTATCATGGTGGTATCATGGTAGGAAATACTTATGCTGCTTCTTATGTTAATTTAATGAGCAGCTAAAGGTAAGAAATTTGTTCAAAGGACTTATTATTCACTAGCAGATAAATTTGGAAAGAACCAATTTTTCTCATGTTAATCTCATATGCATTACTGCTAAAATACGACTAATTCTGTTAGATAAGAAATTGACCCAGGAAATAGTCAGCATAGCTCCGCCTCCTGAATACCATCTTTATGAAAACCATCCTTATGAACACCACCCTTATGAATACCATCCTTAAGGATGGTGTTCATAAAGGTGGTGTTCATAAGGATGGTTTTCAAGAATAAGAATGGAGTTTATATGGAAGGTGTTCATAAGGCCTTGAGAACACCATCCATATAAACTCTATTCTTATGAACACCTTTTACTAAAAATTGTTTTTACAATTTTCTTTTACAAAATCTTTATTTTACTGATAAAAATCTGAAAACAAAAATATTAAAAAACATGACTGATTTTGATTTTGAAGATTTTGGGGCAAAAAAGAAATCCATTCTCCAATTAAATACCTAGAACTTATTATTATTTTATTATCTCTCCGTTAAGCTTAACAGTGCTTTTATCTGAAACTACAACATTTCTAAGTAAAATGGTGATTTTGATTTACCTAACTGAGCCAAATTTTAAAGATTTTGGGGCAAAAAAGTAATTCATTCTCCAACTAAATACCTAGAATTTATTGAAATCCTGCAGCCTTTTCAACATTTCTAAGTAAATGTTGTAATTTCAGACAAAAGTACTGTTAAGCATAAGCAAATGACAAAAACTTTATTTAAATTTCTGTTAATAAAAAAAATATACTAAAATAAAGCATTTATGTTTTAAAAAAAGTTTTTAAACATAAATTTAAAAGAATTTTTTGAGTAAAGCTCGTTACGAGATGAGAATATACCCCCTGGAAGTTGATTAAAGAAGATAAAACACTTTTTTTTTTCCTTTTTTTTTTTTTTTTAACATTTTCTGAAGGGATTTTTTAAATTCAGTATAGACAAGATATTAAAGCAATTATGCTCAAGCGCGCGTTGTGTAAAAAAAACAAATATGTTTGTATTATTATTTATAGCAAGTTTTTATTAAGTTTATCTTTTTTTTTAATTTTGTTGTAGAAAACTTTTTTGGGATGAAACTTGATATATCCAACAATGAAAAATATTGAAAACCTAGTAAACACGTATAAAAGAAGTGTAAAAGATGTCTTTAAGACATCGTGTGTTAGCTGTTATCAAGTACATTTCAGGCATCATACTTTCGTTGTGTTTGAGTTGGAAAGTTATTAAGTACATTTCAGACGTCATCAAGTACATTTAAGACGTTGTGTGTTAGCTGGAAAGTTACCAAGTACATTTCAGGGTATCTTAATAATAAAATGGTCTTGGTTGGTGTTATATAAGAACCAAATATTTGAAAAAGTGTATTAAAAAAGATTCACTAAAAAGAGTTTTTTTATCTGATAAAAGTATCCATTATTGTGAGATAAAAGTATCCATTATTGTGAGATACAAGTATCCATTATTGTGAGATAAAAGCATCCATTAATGTGAGAAATTGTTGTTGAATAATGAGATTATATAAAGATTTAATAAAATATTTACTAAAAGATTTAATAAAAGATTTAATAACATATTAAAAGAAAATCTTTTTTGTAACACATTATAATACTTAAAATATTTTTTGTAGCATTTTATTTCTCTGAATTTTTAATTGGAGATTTACGCATGTGTTGAGTGAGTCAGTGAAGACGCAAATTTTATTTCCCTTTAACAATGGTTTCTTCTAGCATGTGAAAAATTGCATTTTTTTTTTTTTTTTTTTTTTTTTTTTTGTCAATTGTTCATTAAAATAGTAATATTTTGCAAAGATTAAGACATAGGAACAAAAGTATCTTCTAAAAACGTCTCCAGTAATCCTCTGTTTAAAGAAAATTAATTTTTGAAAAAAAAATTGTATTATAAATCTTGCATATGTAATATCCATTTACAAAACCTTGCATTTAAAATATCCGTTCGTTAAATCTTGTATACTTGTTAAAAATAAAACTTGTTTTTTTAATAATAAAATTAAATTTAAAAAGTTTCTTTTTCAACTAAAATTTTTTTACTGCATTCATCGACAGGTTTTAGACTTCGTCAAGAAAAAATTTCAGCGTTTGAATTTTGTGATCATGTAAAGTTCAGAGATGCCTGAAGAGATGTATAGGGCAACGGGTGCAATTTGTTATAAAAGGACACAAACAAAAATTAACGATAACATTATATAAAAATAAATTCAGCCTTGGCAAAGGCGATGAATTCCATTGAATATACATTATAAGACATTTTTAATTTATTTTTGTTGTTGTTTTTGGTTGTTGTTGTTGTTGTTGTTGTTGCTGCTGCTGTTGTTGTTGTTGTTGTTGTTGTTGTTGTTAATGTTGTTGTTAAGGTTCTCTAAAAAGTCTTTACAGTCTTATCACAGAGTACCGTGAAAGACTATTTAATTAGTAAGTTCACGCCTCAATTTTTACCAATACCGTTTATTGGGTTAGAGCTACCATTGAACCACGAGCCTCTTGGTTCTGTGTCAGATAACCACTGCGCCACGGCTTTGTGGTTAGAGATCTCTCTTTTTTTATAACAACCTTTTTTAATTTGTTGTTCCCGTTTTTGTTGACCTAAAATATAAATTACCAGCACAAATATAGTAAATTTAAATAAAACAGTGTATTAACAGTGCAACTGCTATATCCTTGATGGCGCTCCAGCAAGTCAACAAGTGCAAAACACAGCCTGTACTCGGGCATTCCGGCATCCCTGGTAAAACTTACAAACCCTGCTGAAAGATTATTAGATAAAATTTGAAATCTAACAATATTGATAGTGAAAATGTCTAAAAAAAAATTTATTTATTGCTTTAAAATTTGAGTAATTTTGGCAAAAGTATTAGGGTTTTTTCGTTTCCAGGTTTTAGCCGCAACAATTTTTGTTTTGCAATCTAATTTGACGCACATGAAGTACATCATGAAGTGCATTAGTGGCATGAAGTACATCAGTTTAATTTTTTTTTCTTAAAGTTACATTTTTCAAATATTAAAGAATTAGACATATTATAATACAATTAAGAAAACAAGATGTTTTTAAGAGTACAAATTACTCAAAAACACGCACAAGAATGTAAGTCTAATCACAATTAATCTTTTTAATCACAAAATGATTTTAAAGTTTGTTTTGTTTTTTAAATATTTTTCCAAAAAATTTAGATTCTAAAGAATTTTTACTTGCCACCAGTCTTTTTGGTTTAAATCTTCCAAAGCAAATGTTTTACAAAAAAAAACATCCTCTAATAACTTCTTATTGCTTCATTTGTTTCCTTCTTTTTATTTATTTTTATCCAAATTTTCTAATATCTTGTTTTGAATCAATTATTTAATGATGTTCAAATATAATTATCAAAAATGTTTCAAAACAAACTTTATTAAACATTTTTTGGAAGTTATAAAGTTTAACTCGTTTAAATTTTATTGATATGCATCAATAAAATTATAAGGAGTCGGTGCTAAAAGCATTTTAAATGGTTACGAACTAAACAAATACTACGGATGCTAAAATATCGAATTAAATGTAATCTAAAACAATTTTCAAAAATTAGGTAAATCAAATAGTTTGAAATAAATATGAAAATAGTTAAATAAATCAAACAGCTCGAAATAAATCAAATAGCTCGAAATAAATCAAAAAGCTCTAAATAAATCAAATAGTTTGAAATAAAGATAAGAATCCTTGAAATAAAATTGAAAATACTTTGAAATAAAGATAAAATTACTTTGAAATAAATATAAAAGTAGTTTGAAATAAATCAAATAATTTGAAATAAAAATGACAAACAAATTGAAACAAAGATAACAAAATTTATCTTTATCTATCATATCAATTACACAAACAATATAAAAAAATTATTTAATTAATAGTTTATTCTAATAGGTGTATTTATATAATATATATATATATATATATATATATATCTATTAATTGTGGTATAATATAATAATGGCAGTTATGACTATGTAGTAATTATTGAAGATTTTAAAATGAAATTTTTTGTATCTTTCGATTGGTCTGTGTACTTTAAGTACGCAGTATCGAATTTCACACCAGCATTTTAAAATGATTGAATAAATCCGACGTATTCCCAATTTAAAAAGTTTATCTTTTAAAAACATGAAAAAATATAAAAAGTTAAATATAAAAAGTTTATCTTTTAAAAATGTGAAAATAAACTTTTTTTTTTTTTTTATCATTTTCGCTTCCAACAAGGCTGCAAGCAACCACTAATTAGTGTTGGAAGTTACTGGAAGAGAAAAGATGAAGATTGTAGAGCAAGATAACGATTGACAGATGACTTAAAAGTTTGCAAATTATATGAATCAGGAAAGCAAGATGAAGGAAGCAAATTCCAAAGAACTGATGTTCGAGGAAAAAAACTAGACGAATAAGAGTTTTTGGAGCACTTAGGAACAGTAACAGAAAAAGGATGAGACTTAATTGAATGACGAGTAACACGAGAATGAATTTTAGTAGATGGCACAAGAGATGCTAGCTCTTTAGAGCAGTGCCCATTATAGTATTTGTAGAAAAGAGAAAGAGAAGCAACATTACGACGATGTGACAGAGGTTGAAGGTTGGCTGCAAGAGCAGGTCCAACTATGTTTACAATGCGTTTTTGCACCTTGTCTAAAAGAGAAAGGGCATCATTAGAAGATCCGCTCCAGATATGGCAACAGTATTCCATACAAGGCCGTATTTGAGATTTATAGAGATAGAGAATAGAATCCAGAGTAAGAAAGTGACGATCTCGATAAAGAGATTTTAGAAACTTTAGCAGATGTTAATTTTGCAACGGATTTGATATAAGGTTTCCAAGAAAAATCAGAAGTGAGAGTTAATTCTAGAAGATGAAGGGTAGGAGACTCATCGAGTACATTACCGTTCATAAATATAGGAAGGTCTAAACTATTGCGATAACGATTGGCCGAAAAAAATTGAGTTTTATCTGGATTAAAGTTCACCAGCCACCGTGAGCCCCATGCAGTAGCAGAAGTGAGATCCTTTTCAGGCTCAGATGCGCCCTGCAAGCAATCAGGGGGAGTTGGCTTCTTATAGTGACAAGAATAAATGGTAGTATCATCAGCGAACAATGCCACCTTAGATGTGAGAATATCTGGAAGATCGTTAATGTATATTAAAAAGAGTATAGGGCCAAGGATTGAACCTTGAGGAACCCCTGAGGTTACAGAATAAGCAGAAGAGTGCTGTCCATCAAGGACAACTTTTATACTACGATTGGAAACTTAGCATAAGTAAAGTAAATTCAAATGAAAATTTATTATATGTTAAAAAAGAAAGTTTTATGTAATAAATATAAAAGTTCTTCTATAATCCATTTTAAACCATTCATATTACGTTAAAGATTCAACAACCAATCATATTACGTTAAAGATTAAAAAAAAAAACTGAAAGTGTTGTTAAACTATTTTGTGCATTTCTTATTGCTCCTGAAAAAATCTGTTATTTTAAGATTAAAAATTTAATATTTTATTTTCTAAAAAAAAATGCAAAATAAAAATATATCAACGTATTTTAATGCAAAAACATGTGTTCATAACATATTTGTTTAAACCCGTACTGGGTTATATTATTCGGCCATGTCGTATTATGTTGGCTTATTTTATCTGTCGTACAAACACTATTACATAACATTACAATAATTAGAAATACAAAAAACTCCATTACTAAAACAAAATTAAATTAAAAGTTAATATATATATATACATATATATATATATGTATATATATATATATATATATATATATATATATATATATATATATATATATATATATATATATATATATATATATATATATATATATACACTCAAGGCATAGGTAAGAAAGGCATAAATCTACATTCGGTAAGGTCTGCATTATCTTTTTAGGTATGATTACCTATTATTTTTTTATCTGGTTATTTGTAAATGCAAAAGTTAATTAAAAAAAAAAAAGATTTCAAAAATTTGTATCCTTATATACTGTGATAATGTTTTTAATCGTTATTTACATTATAAGCTAATAAACCATATGATTTTGTTTTGCTATATGATTTTATTTTAAAATTTTTTAAATAAATAACAAAGAAAAAAATTAACAAAGCTGTTATGTTTACTAATTTAATGAAAGTTTTAGATGTGTGCGAAAAATTTCAAATTTTTGCGATATTGTTGTTTATTACATCAGTTATACAAAACTCACAATCGATCGCTTTAGGTATATTCCTACGTTTTTTAATCTTATCAAATTTAATCAAAATTTTTTTTTTTTTTTTACGCTACATATGTATTATTAGTTGTGATATTTAATGAATTTCAGAGTCTGGTGAGTGAATTCAATGTTTACAACTTACCGGAAACGAATGATGAATTTTTTCCAAAATACTTATCATTTTAACAGAATTTAAAAGAGAAGAAATTTATGGAAAAATATTTTCTTACCTTAAACTTTGGCTTCCATAACTTCTAAAAAAATTCTATGACTTTAACGTTATTTTTTATTCCTTATTCGGCTGTTAGCAAATTATAAAATTATGAAAAATCTGTAGTATTGTGTGGTAATCGCTCTATATAATTTAAATGGTATTCATTGTAAATAATATATTGTTCAATATAATGAAATGATTATGTCTTTTAATTGTTTTTTCATAATCATTGCTGACATTAAATTAATCCAATGGCGTTAGATTTATTTTCAAAACGGATTTTAAATCTTTTCAAATAATTTCAGCGTACATTTTGAGATTTATTCGGATTCAATGTTTTTAAATTGTGAAGGTTGAGTGATTAAATACATTATAAATTTATTTTTTAAGCAAAAATATATTTATAGTGTTTAACATTTTAAAAAATATTAAATCATTTAGGATTATTGGGTAAGTAATTAACATTAGAGTAAGTTATTGCATTTTCGATCACTATGTTAAGTCAATTGCTTGTCATTAAGCTTCGTTTGAACAATAAGTATTAAGAAAAATTGTAATGTAAAAACAGATTTATATACAGAAGAACTTCTTATATCAAAACATTTAAATAAAATTTTTGTTTGATGAAAGCTTAATGAAATGTCAAATAAGGATATTTTCCGAAAAATTGCGATGATTAGACCTGGGAAAAAAGAAGCCCTAATATTTTTGCTAGACCTGCACTAAAAGTGAGAGCAAAAAATTGATAAAATATTTTCTTTTTTACAAATTTTTAACTAAATTTATTTTCATTGAAAAAGTTTTAAAAATTCATACCATAATCTCTTAGGATTCAAAAATTATGGCCTTATAAAATTTGTAAAATCCTAAAACTAAGGTGCGTTCAAACTTTATATGGTCGTAATTTTTGAACGCTTAGAGGTTATGGTATGAATTTTAAAATTTATCGTTAAATATAAATTTAGTTGTGAATAATAAAATAAACTATAAATTTTCATGTCTGAAAGTAAGCTCAAACATAAAAAAAATGCTGTATCCGCCCCTACCTCTCAAAGTCGGTCAATAACTTAAATAATCATTTTCTTATGTCTTTACTTCCTTAATTACATCAGTAAATAAAAAGATGATAATCTACGTGTTTACTTCCTCTTTAAATTTTGAATTTTGAATGAATAATATTTTACCCATCTCTCTTAATTAAAAAATATGCTTTGAAACATCATTGAGAGCAAGGAACATTATCTAAAAAGTGTGGATTTACAGTTTACCATAACCGACATAAATAGAAGTAAAGCAAGAATCAAAGTTTAGGCGGAAAGTCAACAGCTTCAACAATATGTTTATTTATTCCATTCAATATTTGTTTTTGATTTAATGTTTGATCAATTGGGTAATAACTTTAATCGTTCAACACTATTTGAAAAACAAAAAACATTCACACACAAAAAAAAACAACTATTACCACAATGGTTGTATGATTTTAAAGTGAGATTTATGAGGAAAACATGAAGTAGCGTTACAAAAGGATAATATTTCATCAAATAAAGCGTCATCTTATACTTCAGATATAATTAACAATTATTTTTATAACTACAAAATCAATACAATAAAGCCATTGATTCTTTGAAGCTTCGCGCAACGTAGAACTGCAACGAGTCACAGTAGTCAAAAATGTTTAAAATACAAATAAACGCCAAATTTTTAAAACATGCTTCACATACTTTATTTCTTTTTCTTAATAATTTTTGAAACTCTAAGATAGTGTGCACAATTTTTTTTTGTCTATAAGCCTAAGTGATCAAACTAAGTGATCTTAAAACTAACGGTAGAGACAAACTAAGTGTTTTTTACAAAAAAATAAAAAAAAATTAATACTTAAAAGTACCTTTTTTTTTTTTTTACTTTTTTAAACACATATTAATCGACATATTTCTTTCATTTCATAAATTTAGGTACAATTAGTTGCAAGATCAATCATTCAAGAATTTGTATGAAGAGGAATTAAATTAAAACCATGTAAAAGTAATGAATGACAAATTTGTATCGAATGTTCTAATCCAATCTGTCGAGTTCAATATTACCTCTGTCCAACTCTGTCGAGTTCAATATAAACTTTTGCATATTGATTTGGAATCAGTTTATATTTTTGCATTTAATTTTTAGCCCTCCAACATACTCATTTTTAAATTACATTATCAATAAAAATGGAGTTTTGCTTGTTGCACAAATTCTAGCCCAAACCAAAATAGATTTGGGGGTTGAACAATGAAGGAGGTGCCTGGACGTGGCTTTGTCAGAATTCTATCTTTTTGGCAGTTCTAGCTTTGCTGAACAAAAAAAACTTCTGATTGGAAAAGAAGATATGCTCCCTGTGTGAAGTTGCGACACGCTTGAGCAATTGGCGAAATCTTTCTAGGCGAACTCGTTGAGAAGATTTTTTTTTGCCTACGTTTTGAACTTCAGCCCCTCAACTAAAACGCTGGGGGGGGGGGGGGGCGGACACTACATTTAGCTCCCCCCCCCCCTATTTTTTAATAGTTTTTAAAAAACATTTATGACAGCAAGAGCGGAATTATCACTTTCCAGTCTGCAATGACTCAATTTAGTTGATTAAGATGCTCCAAGAAGTCCTTACGGTCTTATCACAGAGCACCGCGGAAGAGCATTTAATTGGAAGTTCACGCCTCCATCCGAACTGATGTCGCAAAACTCGCCCAGAGGTGGGGTTTGAACCACGGATCTAACGTTTCTGAGGCAAGTGCGCTACCACTGCGCCACGGTTGCTATTACCTTTCTATTGACCTTCCTACGCCACTGTATGTTAGTATAGTATAGTTGTATATGTTTTATAGTATAATTGTATATGTTGTATAGTATAGTTGTATATGTTGGTGTAGTGTAGCTGTATAGTATAGTTTTATATGTTGGTATGGTATAGTAGTTTTGTATAGTTGTATATGTTGTATAGTATAGTTGTATATGTTGGTATAGTATAGTTGTATATGTTGCATAGTATAGTTATATATGTTGTATAGTTGTATATGTTGTATAGTATAGTTGCATAGTATAGTTGTATATGTTGGTGTAGTATAATTGTATAGTATAGTTGTATATGTTGTATAGTATAGTTGTATATGTTGTATAGTTGTATATGTTGTAAAGTTGTATATGTTGTATAGTATAGTTGCATAGTATAGTTGTATATGTTGGTGTAGTATAATTGTATAGTATAGTTGTATATGTTGTATAGTATAGTTGTATATGTTGTATAGTTGTATATGTTTTAAAGTTGTATATGTTGTATAGTATAGTTGCATAGTATAGTTGTATATGTTGGTGTAGTATAATTGTATAGTATAGTTGTATATGTTGTATAGTATAGTTGTATATGTTGTATAGTTGTATATGTTGTATAGTTGTATATGTTGTATAGTTGTATATGTTGTATAGCTGTATATGTTGTAAAGTTGTATATGTTGTATAGTATAGTTGCATAGTATAGTTTTATATGTTGGTATTGTACTATAGTTAGGTCCACTACTTTTTATAGTTTATTTAAATGATCTTCCTGAGTCTCTAAAAAATATTTTAAAACTATATGCTGATGACAGAAAAATCATGTTGATTAGTTCTTCTGATGAGTTACATAATAAACTACAATGCGATTTGAACTCTGCATATGCTTGGACACATGATTGGTTGCTTAACTTTAATATTAACAAAGGTTTAGTTATGCTATAAAAATAAGAGATACGTAATTTGTATAAATGGTTGTAAACTCAACATATCAGATTCAGAAAGGGATCTAATAGATATTTTTCCAGATAACTTGAAGTAGAAAAATCAAGACTTATCGAGTGCAAGCAAAACAAATGTTATGTTGGGCAAAATAAAGAAGTCTTTTGTTCAATTTGATGCAAAACTGCTAAAAACTCTATCTTTCTTTTTTTCGACCACTTCTAGAGTTTGCAATACCAGTATGGGCTCCTTAATAATACAAGATATTGTCATTTTAGAAAGAATACAGCGTCATACTACTAAATTAATACCTTTAGTCAATGAATTATGTTATGAAGAATGACTAACTTGTAAAAATAAATTATGGATAAATCTTAGAATGCCCTCACTAGTTAAAAGAAGACAACAAGGTGACATAATTGAATTGTATAAAATTTTCAAAGGTTACGATAAAGTTGAATTTAAAGAAAGTATGTCCTTTAAATCTAATTGTACTCGTGGCCATACCGTAAAGTGTTCTAAAGAATTTTCTGTACATAATTATAGAGAAAATATGTTACTAAATTGAGCTGCAAATTATTGGAATGGACTGCCAAAAAATGTTGTTAAAGCTAATTCAGTAAATTTATTTAAAGCAAGACTTGATCGATGGGAGTCGAACCATCACAAGACTCAGCTGTCATAGTGTACTTTAAAACCACGCTCACTTGTAGCAATGCCAGTCACAGCATAAACAAATACTAATACTAACTATAACCAGAACAATTTGCAAGCTCTGCTCTATTAGCTTCACATGTAATTCGACATGCATTTTTTGTTTACTATCAAAATTTTTTGTTTTTTATAATTGGTACTTGCTCAAGAAAAATTACAGCACGAAACTATGAAGCGATGTTAAAGCATAAGAAGTAATTATGAAACGATGAACAAAAGTATAGTATAGTAATTTAAAATTAAAAAAATGGTTTAACTCCATAAAAAATTTTTCTATAGTTATCAAGGTACTCCTAGAAGACCTAACGGTCTTATCAAAAAGCACCATGAAGGAGCATAGCTAGGAAGTTCACGTCTTCTTCCTTACCAATGTCGCTTATTGGGCTGGGGCCGGGATTGAACCACGATTCTCTTGATTATGAACCTGAACTCACTGCGCAACGGCTCCTATAAAATTATTTCATAAATCATTCGATTTTTTTTGAGTTTTTTTTTTTTGATGACAATTTATATGAAAATTGAAAGTTATGGTCGTAGTCCAAGTGTCTATTAGGTTGTTAAAACGTTATCCTCACAAGGGGTGCTGACCACACAGGCAAGTTTATCTTAAATCTACACTACACCATAATAATAAAGTCAATTATGTGATAGCAAGGTCAATAGATCGAATCGCACTAACTTCTGAAAACTACTAAGTTGTGTTTATATTTACTCAACGCGTTGCGCAAGATTGTATCACCTAAGGGTGCATATCATTCTAGTCCAGTCTGAACCTTCTAATGTGCTACTCGCCCAAACAATATAACTGAACTAGTCTTTGAACATTAAGAAATTAATGCACCCCACCAGATTAAGAGTTGGTTTTTAGAAGAGGACCGTCACCCCAGTTTATTTATAGACTACTTGGATTACGAAAATATTTTCTTCAACCTCAATTAATCATTTCTACAGAGACAGCTGTCAAAGGAGAAAGATTACATCTGTCCAACAAAATCAGTGGTGTTGCCCAAGATCATATGTACACTTTTATCCAAGTTCATTGGATTTTTACTCAAACAAAATCTTAGATGTTATTAGAAATAAAAAAATATTGATGATGGTGCCCTGGCGCCTAACAAGTCAATAAAAAATATCGCACCCCAGTATGAGGCTGTTACTTCAAAAAGATTTTTTGTATTAAATTGGTTTATAACAGTCTATACCAGCACATTATGGCTCAACATTTACCTTTTTAAATTAAAATGAATACTTCAAAAAGTTTTGTTGTTTTCCAGGAAACACCTTTTCCGAATTTAATATGATTAATTTTAAAACCCGTAAATGACTACTATGCTAGAACACACTAACACCTAGCTATAGACTAGCTACACCTAGCTAAGGACTAGACTAGCTACACCTAGCTATAGACTAGACTAGCTACAACTAGCTATTAACTAGATTAGCTACACCTAGCTATAGACTTTCGTAGCATGAGTGAATGCACCTAGCTATAGATTTTTGTAGCATGAGTGAATGTACCTAGCTATAGACTTTCGTAGCATGAGTGAATGCACCTAGCTATAGACTTTCGTAGCGTGAGTGAATGCGCCTAGCTATAGATTTTCGTAACATGAGTGAATGCCACTTGGACGGAAGCGGCTTCAAACTTTTAAATACTGGAGAGTTCAATTTTCGTTAACCAAAAAGTCGGTACTCGTTTTGCTAATGTTGCATTATTCCTATTGAGGATGATGTCGTCCATTTCGATAATGGTCGTCTTTGCAATATCTTTTTTTTCAACAGAGTATGACAATATTAGGCGCCTAAAGGTATGCAGAAATATAATCAACACTAGTTAGTCTCATCTCTTGTGACTCAACAGCGGCCAGCAACCCATTACCACTCATTACACAATCACACCATTAACACTCAAGACTAGAAATGACTGCCGCCAAGTTTTAGTTAAAAAAATACTTTTTTTTATAAAAACATTTATTTAACACTAAGTTTTTTGTTTAATAACTTATTTAAAACAAAAATTATGAATATACTTTATTTAATTCTAGATATTTACGAAATTCAAAACAATTTAAAAATGCACTAGCATTAAACAATAACATTTTCGAAAACACAGAAAAAAAGCGATTTAAAAAAAGTAAGGATAAGTGTTTAAAATTGTTATCAGTTAATCACTAATTTCTATAACTATCCAGTCAATGTTGCATCTAATTGTTTTAGCTTCGGCAAAGCCAGCTTTATTTTACGTCGATAACCCGACTGATCATTTAGCTGCAAAGGATTTCGTTCTAAATATACAGTTTCTAAATATGGAAGTCTTGCTAAAATATCTGTACATTTCCAATCACTGACATTGTTATCGTTGCACTAAAGTTTAAAATGATCAAAATAAAAACTCAGGCCAAAGTCGTTACGAAAAAAAAAATGAAAATCAAACTAACCCAAAATTCTTTGAGCTCATTTAAGTTATCCAACCCTTCAATAAGAGAAATCTTGTTATTGCCAACATCAAGAGTTTTTAGTTTTTTCTAGAAAAATAAAAAAAATATATGAAGTCTTTTTTATTTATTTACAAAAAGTACAAGATTGCAACAAAATTACAACAATCGCAAACACATACATACATATATATATATTATATATATATATTTTATATATATATATATATATATATATATATATATATATATACATTTTTTTTTACATATATATATACTTTATGTATATATATACATTTTTTTTACATATATATATATATATATATATATATATGTATATATATATATATATATATATATATATATATATATATATATATATATATATATATATATATATATATATATATATATATATAATTACAACAATCGCAAACACACACCACACATACATATATATATTTTATATATATGAGAGTGTGTATATATTTTATATATATATGTATGTTTTATATATATATATATATATATATATATATATATATATATATATATATATATATATATATAATTACAACAATCGCAAACACACACATACATACATATATATATATATATATATATATATATATATATATATATATATATATATATATATATATATATATATATATATATATATATATATATATATATATATATATATATATATATACATTTTTTTTTATATATATTTATATATATATATTATATATATACAAATATTATATATATATATTTTATATTTATATATTATATATATATATATATATATAATATATATATATATATATATAAAATATATAAATATAAAATATATATATATAATATTTGTATATATATAATATATATATAAATATATATAAAAAAAAATGTATATATATATATATATATATATATATATATATATATATATATATATATATATATATATATATATATATATATATATATATATATATATATATATATATATACTATAAAACTCCTAAAAGGTCCAAAAATCCTAGTAAAAATACAGCTTTTGTGATATGTAACACCTTTAGCTTTTGTGTTATGCTAAACGCATCAAACTACGCATTAGCTATTTTAATAATAGTCCAACTATTGTGATAGACCCCTTAACTTTTTTCAAAAAAAAACACGTTACCTTATAGTTAAGTATTTAGTTTTAACAGAATAGTTTAAAGTATTTTAATTAGAATTATTGAGAATTAAAATTTTATTGAGATAAAGTAAATAATTGCTCTAGTAAAACATTTTATATAATAATAATATGTAATAATCAAAAGCCAAATTTTTCACCAATATTCAGTAATTTCCGAAAAAAAAAAATTGGGTGTATATAAAATATAATATATATTAATAAATAAAATAAAAAAAGCTCTATAAAACAATTTTAATATGTGATAAAAAAATTTTAACTTTAATTTCCATTATGCATTTACCAAAGTAATAATATGATAAAAAATGATAATTTGCATGGCCTAGTTATATAAAAACAAAACATTAAAACTAGTTAATATAAAAATAAACAACAAAGCAATAAGTTGATCAAGATCAATACGTGAGAAACAACAAAGTCATTAACAAGGTCATTCATTCGCAAGTTAAAGAAAACTTATTTATTTTAATTGACGTCTCCAGCGCTTATTTATTATATTTATAAAATGACATTTGTAAAGGTAAACCATTTTGAATATATTTTAAAATAACATTTTTTAATATTATCAATATAAGATAATATTTGTTATAATAGGTTCTCTCTATATTTTTTGTTAATATGTGAGTTTTATTTGTTTAGTATATTTTTTGATTTTAGTACAGGATCTTCTTTGTTGTATTAAAAGTAATAGATAATCACCACAATGAATTTTTAAATTTTTTTTTCAACATCGTCACTTCCAACAAGACTGTAAGCAACCACTATTAGAATTTGAAGTTACTGGAAGAGAAAAGATGAAATTTCTAGAGCAAGATAATGATTGACAAACGACTTAAAAGATTTCAAATTATATGAATCAGGAAAGCAAGACGAAGGAAGTGAATTCCAAAGAACTGATGTTTGAGAAAAAAAATTAAAGGAATAAGAGTTTTCGGAGCATTTAGGAACAGTCACAGAAAAAGAATGAGACTTAAATAAAAGAAATGTCAAGAGCAATGGCCGTAACCTCTCCGCCTTTATCTAATGCACAATAAAACCTATCGGTTATTACTGTAAGCAAATCAGCTGTAGAATGAGAAGATCGAAATCCATATTGATGATAAGAAAGTAAGTTATTAGATTTAAGATGGAGAGATTAAGTGTTTGTTAATTAAAGATTCAAAAACCTTGCTTATGATAGGAAGAAGACTAATGGGACGGTAGTTAAACAAATCAGATCGCTCTCCAGAATTTTTGAAAATAGGGATAAGAGATGCCCCATTCCAGCAGGCTGGAAAACAAGACTCTGATAAGCATTTGTCAAATAGTTATGAAAGTATAGACAACAGCTCCCGAGAACACTTCTGTAGGACTATAATAGGTATGTTATCCGGACCACTAGCTGTAAAAGAATCTAAGCAGGAAATCACTTGAGATACAGAAGCTGAAGTGATACAAATGTCAAGGAATGGATCAACCTGTTTGACAAATAAATCATGTAGAACGCAACTAGTGGAATCAAGAGATGATATTGATGAAAAGTTCTTAGCAAACAAAACAGCTTTGTCTTTAGGTGAGGTGATAAAGTCTGTACCATACAAGAAAGGTGGAATAAAAGATTTGCCCTTATTATTGATACTATTAAAAATTCTCCAGAAGTCATAAGAGCTAAATTTTTGAGATGAAATATGAGATTTCATAACTTGAGAATAGCGGAGATTGGCGTTAGAAAAAACCTTTTTACAATGGTTCTTAGCAAACAGACAGACGCCTGTTTTCTGGAGAATTGTTTTACTTTTAGATATGGAAGTAACCATTTCGATTGAAAATTACAGCAGCACAATGAGAGAAAAACCATGGAGAAGAGTGAGGCTGGAATCGCTGAAAGGGAATAAAAGATTCCATGCCAGCCTAAATCCACAAAGTTATGTAAGAAGCACATTTGTCAGCAGGAAAAGGAAAGATTTCTACCCAAGAGCCATCACAAAGAAAATCACGGAAAGAGTCCCAGTAAACTTTAAGGTAGTTGTAAGAGGTACAATGATAGGGGGATTGAGACAATGAAGAAGAATGAGATAATAGTTTTAAAGAGATCGAACCATAACCCTAACCCTAACCCTGAACCCTGACAGATAATAGTTTTAGAGAGATCAAACCGTAATCAGAAGCACCTAAGGGTGAATGTGGAGAAACGGAGCACTAACTAGGATCAAAAATAAAACATAAGTCGAGTAGAGGTAAATGATTCCAGTTGTCTGGAAAGCGAGTTGGAAAGTTGACTATTTGAGTTAGGAATTGAGAAAGGCAAAAGTTGTGGGCTTTAACGGCTGCAGAGTCCCCAACACTAGAGCCAAGCCATTCGGTGTGATGACCATTAATGTCACCAACAACAACAATATTGGCTGATGGATAAAGAAAGAGGGCTCGGTCAATTTGATCAGAAATAACATTAAAAAGAGTGCAGTCTTGAGATGAAGGAGAGCGATATAGAACAAAGCAAAAGGCATTCAAGTAAAGTGGTGCTAAATGAAAGCACATAAAAGAATATGAATTAAAGGAAGATAACCATCAACACTAAGATCACAAGATGAGACAGCTGAACTCAAATTAGTTTCACAAAGAGCAAGTAGGTCTGCTCAGCGTAGTTAAGGAGAGATCCAAATGATTTGCATTTTATAAAAACAAAAATCTATATTTTTAAACTTTAATATTTTGTTTTTTCTGCTTATTTTCGACTTTTACTGTTATATATTTTTAAAAAGTAGAATTTAAGCTTTTTTTATATAATTTGTTATTTTTTTTATATTTTTTTTTTTAACCAAAGCATCAAGCAAAACAAAACTACCACTAAAATACATAAAATGCAACAGGGCAGCATCATAAAAACAGCTGAAACAAATGTGTTAAGTATTTACATTCCAAAAATGTCTCTTTTATTCAAAAGTAAAAACCTCATACTTAATCTTTTATCTTTAAACAGTAAAAACGTTAAAGTCAAAGTTTTCGCATTAGTTTTCACTCATAGCAATTTACTACCATAATCTCTTTATAGTCGTTTAAATAAATTACTAAACAAAAACGTTTCAGTATTTATGTAACTTCTGCTCCATAGTATTAAGGTATATTTCAAACTCGTAGATAATAAAATCACCAATTATTTATAAACAAAATAAAACAACAAGCTTCTTGACTTTTTAAAAAAAACAAACCAATCAAAAAGCACACAAAATAAAATGGCATTTTTTGAAAGCGAAAGGGACTTAAAACTTTTTTTTTTCGGATCTCTCCTTAACTACGCTGAGTGGTGAACTTTGCAAGAGATAAGACTCAACAGAAGAAAAATTACTTCGAAGACCACGAATATTAGTGAATGATAGGTTTAGAGAACTTGGTAATGACGATAGTTTTTTGTGTTTTATAGTTTTTGGTACATTATGCATTTTTAAATTTGTCAAAGAACTTGACTCAAAGCATAGATATTATTCAGTAAACTGTTTAATAGCCCAAGCAATTGCCTCATTACTATTAATAAACTCTAACAAAGGGCTCCCTTATGTGTGTAAAAATATGGCCCACCCAGCTCTTACCACCGCAAATCTTTGCAAAACATTCTCATTTGACATAAGCATGAACATACAAAAGTTTGAAGTTTGCACAATACCTGTAAGTGTCAAAACTAAACATCTAAAAGTCCAGTGTACACCATTGTGTATATATATATATATATATATATATATATATATATATATATATATATATATATATATATATATATATATATATATATATATTAAATATATATAATCTGTCAGGGTTTTTACCATTGAGGCTAGCTAATTTAGTAGTTATCAGATAGTATGTCCCAGCAAGGGTTTTTTCTAGGTAATAATTACAGATCGTGTCTAGTAGTTCCTTAATGTCTCTAATGTCTAAGCAAATATTGAAGTGACTTAAATTGGTTGCACTATTTCTGTTGATGTGTAAAGCAAGACTGCATAAAGCAAGACATGGAGCGCTATATATTATGTGGCTAACAGTATAAGACTTATAAACTTGTAGAAGCTGAGTGTGTTTGATTTTTTTAAAGAGCTTGAGTAGAAATAGTGTTGTGCACAGCGCACAGTGGGCCAGAAACCACTCTTACTGGACAAAACGTCGTCATATAGAAAAGATTTAAGAACCATTTTTGCACTGCTTTCTAATTTGAGGATTGCGGTTTTAATGGTGACATTATTTTTAACTTTGGGTTGCTATGGATACCTACATTGCTTAGCAACCACATATTTATTACCTTAACAAATATAAAGTTGAAAAAGTAATAACTTTATTGGATTCCTCACAAAATTACCACATTGAGTATTTTGATATTACAAATGTATTGGTACTATGGATTTTTTATTTGGTTGATAGTGACACCTAAAATGTCTGACGCTTCATTTTGCATAGTTACTAGCTTAAGTAACTTTTCTACAAGCATCAACGTTATAACTAGCAGTAAGCAACCTGTAATACGGGTTGTTAGTAAATAAAATTAAAAAAAAAAACCGTGCATAGAAAAGCCTAGAAAATAACGTAAGTCGACTATTAACTACTACTATTAAATTAGCGTATTAATATTATCAGACTAAAATAATATCAATGTGGCAGTCTTAAAAATTATTTTATGCATTTAAAAATTCAACACATTCCGAATTACTAACTTTAAGTGTTTTTATGCAGTTTCAAGTTATTTTATATTTCATAAAACTACTACATAATCCATATAAAAAGAAACCCTGAGTTTTAACCTTTTTGTGCATATAAAATATTAGGATTAACTAAATTCAGGTTTTCTTGTATTATTGAATAAATATCAATACTTTTCATGTTTTAACTATATAAAAATATAAATTTAATTTACAAAATTTTACAAATAGGAATTTTAGAATGTATAATTAATAAAACAAGTTTGTAACACTAATCTAGTTTTGCTGAGACCCAATTATTACATAACCATTTAAAATAAAATATATATAATGTTTTCACCACATAAAATTGGATACATCATTTACCGGTGGGAGATGAGCTAGCAACTATCTAGTCGCTACTTATGGGTAAAAAACGCATTAAAGACGTATAAAATACATAGTATTATCTGTTTTTGACGTTTTAAAAATGTCTTGCGTCAACTAACTATTTTTTTTTCACCGGTTAACTTGAATAAGTCATTAACAGAGACCAGGCGGACATCCGTGGATTACAAAACAGATTGATATTGATTATATACATATAGAACAATGTATTTCAAGTTTCAAATTACTGGACCGCTTTGGACCGCAAAAGTATTCGACTATATAAGTAAAACTTTAACTAAAAAAAGTACTTGAAATACTACGTCATTTGAAACCATTTTATTTGACATAAATTACATGCAAAATAGTGTCGCAATAGCTCATTTGAAAAATAATCTTTGATTTTATTAAATTATACAATAAAAAGATAGATTTTAAAGTTAACATCTATTCCATGCTTATTAGTAACATAAAAAATACTATTAAATTATAAAAAAAAATTAAATTTTTTTTTAAAAATGTTTTTTATTCTACAGCTTAGAAGCATACGACATGATAATTATACAAAAATATATACATTTTATTAAAGTTGAATGTCTAAGCTATAAAATGGTATATAATAATGTAATTTTTGATAATGTATTTTTTTTACTTTTGTCCACCACCTGGCCCACTGAGCAGTATTGTGCACTTCTTGTTCAACTCAAAAATTCTGATTGAGCAGGATTCTCAGATATTTGTAGTTGTTATTTTTGATTTTTTGATGAGCATGGGTAATGGTAGAACATGATTGGTAGAGGAACTGGCTGAAATTATAATGACAAGATTGTTAAATTTTATTGTAAATAAAGTTTCTGTCAAACTTACCTCTATTAGCAATACAAGTGGCAGTTAATTAACATTTAGATCAATGTATCAAACATATTAATATATTTTTTCAGTCAAATGTACCCTAAAAAATACCCGAAGTAAAACGATGACTATTTACAAATATTTTTTTAATGACTACCAAGCATGAATACTGTACATTTACTTTTTTCTAGTTTTTTTTGAAAGTCAATTGTCAATGCTAATTCAATATATAAGCAACGCAAATTTCATTCATTTTTACAATTTAAAGTGTCATTTAAGTATTTTTTGGCTGTGAAACTTAGCTTTCATTTTTGCAAAAATGAAAGATACTTTTTTTTTTTTTTTGCTAATTGTTTTACAAAGGAAATTTTACAAAAAAAGAAAGATTGAGACTCTCTCACACAATTTTAAAAAGTTAAAAAAAGATTGCAAAATTTTTATTACAAACTTAAACTCAGTAAACAAATATAGAAATTTAAATTACATTTAATATAATTAGATTATAAAAACATACGTTGCAGTGGAGATTTTCTATTTTTTCAATTCCATTAAAACTTATGTAAAACTCTTCTAAATCTTCAAGTTCTTCCAACCCTTCAATCTTTAAGATTCGATTACTCTAAAATTTAAAGAAAAACCCTTCAATCTTAAAGATTCGATTACTCTAAAATTTAAAGAAAAACCCTTCAATCTTTAAGATTCGATTACTCTAAAATTTAAAGAAAAATCCTTCAATCTTTAAGATTCGATTACTCTAAAATTTAAAGAAAAAATGGATATCATAAACAAATCTACAAAATACTTATTATAATTGGTCTTAAATTTCATGAGCATCACAACCGGTTTCATTTCATCACAACCGGTTTCAGGGAATAAAAAGATAAGAGTTTTTAAAAATATTTCTCAAAACATAATTTTTGTGTTGAAATTTTTGGTTAAAAACATTGAAATTCTTGGAAATTATATATTTTTTGTTTTTTGGAAATTATTGAAATTCTTTACAATAGAATTTAAATTTTCATTTTTTGTTTTTTCATTTTTGAAAATTGTTTTCCATAAAAAAATAATTTTAATTGTTTTCTGCCATCAAAATTACAACACTATTTTGTTTTTTTGACTTTGTGATTATTATTAAATATAGATTTATTATTTGACTTTGTCATATTTAATAATTACATTATATTTTTAGTAAACCTTAGATTATAAAGTTTTTTAAATTCTTGTTACAACTATGCAGTTTTAAGTATCTCTTTTGTCACGCCTGTCTTATTTTGAACCTATTAACTTTTGTAACACTTTTAATAGTTTTTTTATTTCTTTATTTTTTAATTTTCACTTGTATTGAATTATATTTATATCATATGACATTTTAAAATGAAACTTCTTCTAACACACCTAATGAAGTTCTATTTAATATTTGAAACTTGTAGTATCAGTTCTTAAAATTCTCAGTTACACCACTTAATAATGTGATGCATGTAAACACTGGGTAATTTAGAAGAGTGATTTTATTACATTTAGCATCTTTTTTCTTTTTTACTACCAATATTCTTCTCAATCGAAACCAAATTAAGAAACTTTTATTTGATTATATATTTAATGAATATTATTTTATCTTTTATTATTATTGCTTTTTTTATATTACTGTATTTATGAAACTATTATTACTTTTATTTTATACTTTTTTAACTCTACTAATATTACTGTTATCATTAATTTACCTTTGTTTTATAAATCTTATTATTATTGTTTATAATGATAGCAATTCAATTGTAGTAATAGTTTTAGATTATTGTTCTAATTTTTGCAAATGTTATGTTTATTTTAATAATTTTTGTCATAGTTATAAACTTTACTATAATTATTTTTACCATAGTTTTTATCATTATTTAAAATTTTATGTTATCTTGTTATACAGTATCTCAAAAAATTATCTGACCAAACATTTTTTCAAATATTTTTCCTAAAAAAAGTTTTGTAAATTTTTGTAAATTTTGACTTTTTTTGGTAAACTCAACATTAATAAAAATAAAAGAAATTTTTAAATTATTTTTATTTATTTTAGTGTAAAATATGAATCAGAAAGTTTTTATTCATAAGATAAAGGAACTTAGGTTCTTTTTTGGAAAATGACCGATCTCCAATTTTTTTGGTCTAAAACTTCCCACAAATATTCAATGGGATTAAGGTGTGGTGATTGTGTGGGCCATTCCAAGACCTCAACATTATTTTCAGAAAACCACTCCTTGGTTTTAGTGGCACTATGCTTGGGATCGTTATCTTGCTGAAATGTAAAATCAGATCCTAGCCAAAGTTTTCAAGCAGATGACTTCAAATTTTGCTTTAAAATGTTTCTGTATTGCACCTGATCCATTATCAGTATCAATAAATTGGAGTTTTTCGACACCCTTCCAAGCCATTGAACCCCATACCATCAAGTTACCGCCACCACACTTGACAGTTCCTCTTACGCAGCCTAATTTGTAGGCTTCTCCGGTTTTTCTCCAAACTTTTTGGGTTCCATCAGATGACTTTAAGTTGAATTTTGATTTGCTCCACAGGATCTTTTTCCAGAACTTAACGGCATGTTTTTGAACTTCTTAGCAAACTCCAATCTTCTTTTCATGTGTTTCTTACTCAAATATGGTTTATTACACACAATTCCAGTCTCTTGCTGCACCTGACGATAGGTTTTACCCTGATTGACTAGATTGACAGCTAAATTTCTCTGAGAAACAGTCCAGTGACGTTTACCTCCAACCATTTTACTTAAAAAAACATGAAACCTTTTTTTTATACAAAACTTTTTTTTTTTACTACAAAAAAACATTTTTTTGTTATGCAATTTCATTAATTGTATAAAAATTTGCTAAAATATTTAAACAAATTTCACATAAAGTTAATTAAATTACCTAAATATCGCTTGGTTGGATAATTTTTTTACGAGCCTATTCAATACTAAGGTTCTTTTAGGAAAAATAATAAACCAACTGAAGCATGAATCAAAAAATATGAACACTAAATAACATACTATTCCCAATAGAATCAAAATGACAGACAAAGTAAGTATCGCTATTCATTGTTTTTACTATAATTTAGAGTGTAAACATTTTTTTTTGTGAAAAACTTTAGTCAAATAATTTTTTGAGACACTGTAGTTACTATTTGTAATGTTTTTTTATTTATATTATTATTAATATTATTTTTATTACATTATTATTGAAATAATTAATATTTTTATTTAATAGTGGTTTATTTTCATTTCTTTCCTTTCTCTATGTTTTATTTATATATATATACATATTTTCCTTTTTATTTTATTTTAAATTTATTCTGTTTTATTTATATATATATGTATATTTTTTCGTATTTTTTTTTTTTAGGTGTCACTCTATTGATTAGTTTTTATACTATATGAGTGACACCTAGCCTTATTTATGTGAGTTTGTAAAATATTATGGTAAATTTTCATAATTTACGGTTAAATAAATGGATTTAAAATCTATCATATTATTAATCTACAACAATTGTTTCTATTGTAATCTATTTAATTAGGAAAATTCTTATTTATTCAATCAGAAGGGGTTTCAAATAATTTCAAATTGGTGGTTCCATATTAAATCACATTATTTGGCAATCAATAGTCTTCAAATTGAGTTTAAAAACCTGAGTTATTATGCTCAATTAGAAATGCTGTAAATAGATTTAAATATTAGGAAATTACAGTATGATATCATTGAATATGTTGGTCAGCTAAATTTGTATTTATCAACTTTTATCATTTTTTATAAGTAAAAATAACTTTTATAACTAAATAATACCTGAATACTTAAAATCTTCAACTTCTTTAAAGTTGTTAAATTTTCAAGCTTTGAAATTTTATTTTGTCCTAAATATAACTCTTGCAGATTCACAAGGCATTCAATTCCTTGAATATGCTAAAAACAAATTATAAATTAAAACTTTAACATTTTAATATACTTGATAAGGACATATATCAGAAAACTGAATATATATCAAAAAATTAAAAATAAATCTAAAAACAATAAAAATCATATAACAGTGAAATAAAAAAAAAACTAAACAGAAAAAAAAACTTGGTAAAACAAACAGCAACAAAAAACATAAAGAGTTACCCTGATTCTATTTGATCCAAGTTCTAATAATGTTAATTTTGTTAGACTATTTAAATTTTCGATCTTTGAAAGTTTGTTTCGAATCAAAAAAAGCTTTTCCAAGTTAACCAATAAGTCGATGTTTTCAATCTTTTTCACTTTATTAAATGACACATCCAGGTAGCTTTTAATATAAAAGGGTTAAAGTTATTTTGTATTATTTATAAAATATTAAAACCTTTGCGGGTTAAGCACATTGCATTTTTGAATTGTGCAACCTGTTTGCATTTTTTTACATCCAAAAAAAAAAATGTATTAAAAAAATAAATAATACAAAGATTCAAAACACTTGCTTAAGATTTGTGAGTGTTTCAATGCTTTTTATATTGGTAAGTAGGTTGTCATAAAGATCCAGAGATTCAAGAGTAGTTAGTAAAGATAATCCATCCCAATCTTTAATCAAGTTCTCGCGAAGACATAAACTCTAAGAAATTTAATAAATATTAAACAAACTCAATAATAATAACAATAATAATAAAAAACAAATTTTATTTTTAAATCTGATTTATTTGCATTAAAAGTTGATGTAATGCTACTATATAACACAAATAACTTTAAACGGTTTGACAAAAATTTGGTTCTCCTTATGCTTGCCTTGCTTAAAAGTCTTTATTTTCAACACCTCAACTAGCCCTATCCATAGAGTGTTTTCATTATTCATGGATTGTTAATGTACAAACACTCTGAGGTTCATTTTAATATCACTGCTGGGTGACTGACTTGGTGAAAAGAAAGACCATGTAAATTCTATAGGAGAATCTTGATCATGGTGACATCATATTTATGAAATGTATTCAATTTTTATATCAGCTGCACACCCATTTGGAAAATAATAAACAGTTTCTATTTCCTTATAAATACAACTTGTAATATGTTCAATTGTAAACATCAAATGATAAACCTACATCATGTAATAAGTCATTAGAGATAAAATACATTAAATTGCATTTGAGGACATTGTTTACGCCCAAATAAATACCTGCTTAAATTTATGTTTAAATTTTAAGCCTAAATTTTGTTGCAGTGAACTAAAGATTTTTTTTTTATGTAAGAGTATATAACAAGTAACTTGCTTGACAGAGTACAAGTGAAGCTACTTGTTATCTCAGTTAAACTTACTTTCCACCTTTTGTAACCTACACAAAAATAAGCATCTTCATTATTATAACCTGCATAATACAATTTCATTTTCAAGGTATTATATTAATTAGCATCCTCTGGATATAAGGAACATCAATGAATCATTCTTGTTAGCTCTACAAGCAAGAATTTGAGATTTTATCTTTTGATAGTTTAACTGTACTAATAATTAACTTTTGATGGTAGGTGCAGACAAATACTATATGTATACCATCATTTTTTGTGAAACAATAAACTCTTTTTCTATACATTTGTTAGACCAATAATTTAGAACAAGTTAAAATTTCCTGATTGAACTTGAAACCTAATAATTTTTATTTTGTTATTTATGTAAGCATATCCATTTCTTTTGCTTCATGTTGAACTTCTTTAGCTAATTTATTGAAAGAATTTTCTTAGCTGAACTTAATTTAATCTAAAAATAAGTCAAGTTCTCTTTAAACTTAAATCATGCCCCAAAAAAACCAAAATATTAAACATAAAAACATCCCCACCAATAAACTATTTTAATATATCTTTCACGCATATTTTTGGTTGCGAAGGAACCTTCCATCAGTTGAACGTTACTTCCTACAAAATTATGCAGATTTGATTGTTTTTTATGAGACAAATTATTTTGCAACAGATTGGGGCTCACAGTGGCTTGTAAGTTTTAACCCTAACAAAACTCAGTTATTTACTGCAAACAACTATTGCAGTACTGTGGACATTCCTATATTAATGAATAGCAACCCTCTCACTGAGCCCTCTTCTTTACGTCTTATTGGATTATCATTTACTAATGACCTTTAATGGGAACCATATGTACAATCGATTGCTAAATAAACATCTGCTAAGGTTGCTTCTCTTTATCATGCTTGCCATTTTCTCTCTCCTGATTCAATTCTCTACCTCTCTTATCCATCCCTGAACACAATACTGTTGTCATATTTGGCTGGTTCTTCTGATGATGCTCTTTCTCTTCTAGACAAGGTCCAAAAATGTATTGTAATTGAAGTTGGACCTGCTATATCTGCTAAGCTTGAGCCTTTTTTCCATCATTGAAAAGTTGGATCTCTTTCTCTTCTACAAATACTATCATGGCCGCTGCTCAAAAGAGCTATCATCTCTAGTTCCGTCAACTAAAACTCATTCTCGCTTAACTTGTCATTCAGCAGAGTCTCTTCTTTTACTGTATCTGTTGCTGCATGCTCTAAAAACTTTTATTTTTCTAGTTTTTTTCCCCGCACTTTAATCTTTTGGAACTCTCTCCCATCTTCATATTTTTCTGATTAATAGAATCTTTAACTTTTCAAGTCTTCTGTCAACTGTTTCCTTGCTCTATAACTCTATTTTTTTTTTTTCTTGTAACTTCTTACTTAATAGTGAATTAATGGGAATGAATCAGAATTAAAAAAACTAAAAAATTAAAAAAAAAAATTCCCAATTTTTAATAACTAAACAGGTAAATATTGACACAAACTTTTTGATCAAGCCCAACAAGGAGAATAAATTGCTACCATGACTAAATTCTCCAAACAATTCCTAAGATGTCTCTACTTATCAGGTAAGATTTATAACGATGAAAATAATAATGTAATTGGAAGGTTTATTTTAATGTTAATTGTAAGAGGAATATTATTAATATTTTATTTCTCTGCTGATTTTCATATAATTACTATTATCAAGGAATTTTTTTTACATTTATTACTTAGCTTTGTTTTAATTTTCACATGAACATTTTTGTCTTTTATTATTATTCAGAGAATTTCTTATATCCTTCACTACATGTTTAAGTTTTTATTATGCTGAAAGTTCGGGCAATATAAAAAGAAAAAATAATGGTGAAACATAGCAAACATGTACTTATTACAAAATTCATTAAATGATCCTCTTCAAGTTTCTATTAATAACATGATTAGTGTTTCTATGACAATCTGTTTGTGTAGCTGCATTCAAATGGATGTTTTGAAGGAAGTATTTTAACTATTGCTTTTTCTTTTCTTAATTTTCTTTTTAACTTTTATACAAAAAAAAAGTTTCATCCGATCACACAAACACTGATATTTTTTGATGCACTTAAGATATTCCTTTTTTATAATTTCTGTTAGCTTTCTAAAAAGCTCTTTAAAAAAAAATACGACTAAAAAATCCAAAAAAAATTAAACATGAATTAAATTAATATAAAAATTTTTCCTTTGAGACATTGTTTAAGTTAAGAAATCTTATAGTTACAATAACAACTGAATAAAAAAAAAAAAAATTAAAATAAAATAAAAAATATTGAAAAATACTTTTATTTTAGTAACATGAGTTAAATCAGGAACTCTTCCAAGTCGCGCATGAGTTAAATCAACATACTAAATGAAAAATTTCAAAACTTTAGAAGTGGTTAAAAAAATTACTGAAAAAAAAAAAATATATATAGTTAGACAAAGAAATTATAAATAAAAAACTTAAATTTATTTTATTATTATAATAGAGAAAAATCAAGTTTTGCAATTTGAATTATAAAAATGTAATTCAAATTAAAAAACAAACAAACAACTGATTAACTTGAAATAATTAATTAACTTGAAACCTCTTCATCTTCTTTTATCAAGCTAACAAAATCTGTTGATTCTAAAAAAATATAATTATAAAAAATAAAGAAAACAATTGTAAAAAAAAAATAAAAATAAAAATAATAACATTACATTGAATACCTATATTATCTTTATCTTCATTGTTATGTTCCTCATCTGAACTTTCTGTCATATTCTCCATTATGATTGGTTGCTAAGGTTACTATTGTTTGTCTTTATTCTATACTTTTTAATTTAAAAAAATATACAAACAAATTTTCAGAATAAAATTAAACCAACTTTTAAATTTTTAAAAAGAAAATTAAAATAAAATAATGTAAAACAATAAGCTTTATACTCTTTTAGCTTTAAGGAGAAAAGTTTTTAAAGTTTCAGCTTCAAGAAAGCAAACTTTCAGATAAAGTTTCAGCTTCAAGAAAGCAAACTTTCAGATAAAGTTTCTGAAAGATTTTATCGTGCATTAGATGGAGGCGGTGAGGCTAGGGCTATTGCTCTCGACATATCTAAAGCTTTCGACAAAGTTTGGCATGCTGGTCTTCTCCATAAGCTTGCTTCATATGGTGTTTCTGGGAAAGTTTTTGAGATTATCAAATCATTTCTTTCTGACCGGTTTATTAAAGTCATCCTTGAAGGCCAACACTCTTCTTTATTTCCAGTAACATCTGGGGTTCCCCAAGGTTCCATCCTGGGCCCTGTTTTGTTTCTTATCTACATAAACGATCTTCCTGACAACCTTTCATCTAAAGTAGCTCTTTTTGCTGATGACTCAACTTTATACTCCTGTCTTGACAAAAAGTCTTCTCTTTTCGATCGAGAACAAGCAGCTGATCTTGAATCTGATCTCACTTCGGTGGTAGATTGGGGTTCACAGTGGCTTGTGAGTTTCAACTCTAAAAAAAACCCAATTGCTTACTGCAAACAACTACCATAATATGGTCAACATTCCTATATTAATGAATGGCAATCCTCTTACTGAGTCGTCCTCTTTACGTCTTCTTGGATTATCGCTTACTACTGACCTTTCATGGAAACCATATATACAATCGATTGCTAAATTAGCTTCTGCTAAGGTTGCTTCTCTTTATCGTGCTCGCCATTTCCTTACTTCTGATTCCATTCTCTACCTCTACAAATCTCTTATTCGTCCCTGTATGGAATACTGTTGTCATATTTGGGCTGGTTCTTCTAACGATTCACTTTCTCTTCTTGACAAGGTCCAAAAACGCATTGTAAATGTTGTTGGACCTGGACTATCTGCTAAGCTTGAACCTCTTTCCCATCGTCGTAAAGTTGCATCTCTTTCTCTTTTCTACAGATACTATCATGGTCACTGCTCAAAGGAGTTATCATCTCTAGTTCCATTAACTAAAATTCATTCTCGTTTTACTTGTCATTCAGCTAAGTCTCATTCGTTTACTGTATCTGTCCCTGCATGCTCTAAAAACTTTTATTCATCTAGTTTTTTTCCCCGCACTTCAATCCTTTGGAACTCTCTCCCATCTTCATGTTTTCCTGACTCATACAACTATCAACTTTTCAAGTCTTCTGTCAACCGTTTCCTTGCTCTATAACTCTGTTCTTTTTTTATTCCTAGTAACTCCCAACTTAATAGTGGTTGCTTGCAGCCTTGTTGGGAGTGAATGCAAATAAAAAAAAAAAAAAAAAAAAGTTTCAGCTTCAAGAAAGCAAACTTTCAGATAAAGTTTCAGCTTCAAGAAAGCAAACTTTCATATTTTAAGTCCAAGTAGCTTTTTAGCTTCATAAAAGCTAAAAAGTACTTTTTAAAGTATTTAAAATAAAGTTTTAGCTTTAAGCAAACTTAAAGTGATAGTGTCAAAAGGTTTTGGAAAAAAAATAAGAATAGTTCTAAAAAAAGTAAAAATTAATTATAAAACTTTGATTTTCAGTTTTATTATTTATAATTGAGTTATTTTTTTTAAATTGAAATTAAAAAAAAAATTACTGATTTTAAAATAATACTTGAACTAGCAATATATCATTTTAACTTACTGAGATAAAAAAATAAAAAACTTTTTATGGTATTCAAAGGTTAAATTTTAAAAAATCACCATAAATCATTTCCTGACTGAAATTTCTGTGTTTGATTTTTGCATTAATCAAAAAAAAAAAAAAATCACAGCATGGGTGCTGTGATTTTTTTTTTTTTGATTAATGCAAAAATAAAATTTACATGACATACAAATTTAAAGCAATAACTTATTTGAAAACAATTTGAAATTTAAAATTTGTCATATATAAAACAGAGTAAATACGCAGTTATATACACTAGTAAACACAAGGTTGTACACAATAGGTTATACATACATACATATACATATATATATATATATATATATATATATATATATATATATATATATATATATATATATATATATATATATATATTCTTGCATGGTAGTCAGAAAGTTTTTCCCATAAACTGTAGTTTTAAAGAGCGCGTTAATAAACCAGACTAGGAAAAGTTTAAAAACTTGAATAATTTTTTTTTTTTTCTTAAATAATAGACTGTCTGCCTAAACCAAACCCTCAGTCAATGTAGCAGCACTCCCTTGTGAGTCAGGCTATTTGTCAGTCGATGTAGCAGCACTCTGTTGCGAGTCAGGCTATAATAGTCGATGTAGCAACACTTCCTTGCGAGTCAGACTATAATATAGTTGATGTAGCAACACTCCTTTGTAGCAGCAGGCTATAAGATAGTCGATGTAGCAACACTTCGCCTTCTTGGCTGTAATGGCTTTCTCAGCCTTGGAAGTAAATTTACATAAATAAAAAAAAAAAAGACCAAACTTTGAAATGGCCACTCCAAAACACTTAGGTTATTCGAATGAAAATGGGTGCAAAGCAAAGTATAGTGGTATAATATGGGTTGTTATACTACTGGAGTATGAAATCATTTTTTATACAAGTTGGCTTTGAGAATTTCACAATAGATTGAAGCACCCATTTTGTCAACAATAAATTTCAACTTCCCCCATCTTTTCCAACTCATATTATTCTAAACTATCGCATTTCCTCTTATATGCTTAGCAGTATCTCAACAAATCAACAAAGCAGTCTCTCAACAAAACAACAAACAAATCATTTTACACATTTCCAACTTTTTTAAGGAGGAGGCTGATTTTTGAGTTAACATTTTTTTATAATTCTTTGCCTCCAATTATCATTTCATTTGTTTTTAAGTTAAAAATGTTCACTTGAATAACTATATCTTTATAACCTCTAAAACATTCTAAAAAGTTTTCTAAAACAATTTATAATTGTTTGAAGTGTTACTGTGATGTTTGAGGTGTCACTGTGATGTTTGATGTATCACTGTGATGTTTTATGTGTCACTGTGATGTTTTTTTTTAAATCAACTACAAGGCTTTGATGATGGAAAGAAAAATGTTACTTTCTTGATGCTATTTTGCTGAAATACTACATATTAGTTTATTTCTAGGACAAAAATATATTTATTAGCTCATTTTAATTTTACTTTCTAGTTTGGTTGTTTAACTTGGTAGATTTACACAAAAATAATGAATTTGTGTTAGTAGAATTTTTTCACTAACACAAATAAATTCTTAAAAAAATACTTAAGATATTTAAATTTTTTTTTTAATGATTTAACAGAAAACTTTTTTTAAAAACAATTTTTAAAACTGGGATTTTTTTTAAAGTGTAAAATAATTTTTGCATACTATATATATATATAAATATATATATATATATATATATATATATATATATATATATATATATATATATATATATATATATACATATATATATATACATATATATACATATATATATATATATATATATATATATATATATATATATATATATATATATATATATATATATATATATATATATATATATATATATATGTATATATATATATATATATATATATTTATAGATAAATGAAGAAAGAACAACTTTTTCTATGGTACTTTAAGTTTCATGCCTATACGGCAATCATCAGCCATTGAATACAAAATCAAAAACAAAAAACCGCTAAAAATTACAAAATATTACATATATATATATATATATATATTTTATTGTTACCCGATTTATGGAAACAAATCAAATTTTCAAACTCTTCTCCTGAAAAATGTCATATTTTCACTTATCATAAATTGGCCAATGGCCACTGATATATATATATATATATAAATATATATATATATATATATATATATATATATATATATATATATATATATATATATATATATATATATATTTATATATATATATATATATATATATATATATATATATATATATATATATATATATATATATATATATATATATATATATATATATATATATATATATATATATATATATATATATATAAATACATATATTTTCCTTGAACAGTGGGGCAAAATATGCTTATATATATGTATGTATGTATGTATGTATGTATATATATATATATATATATATATATATATATATATATATATATATATATATTATATAATATATATATATATATATATATATATATATATATATATATATATATATATATATATATATATATATATATATATATATGAGCATATAAAATAATATATAAGCATAATTATTAATTCACTGAAAAATATTAAAAAACAAAAATTATGAAAATAAATTTAATAGTTTAAATAAAAAAAAGCCACAATATGAAATTATACTAACACAAAAATAGAAAAAATATAAATATGCTAAAAAATATTAAACTTTTAAATATTTTAAATTTGTTGTCAAAATATATGAAAACTATATTAAAAATATAGATTAAGAAATATAAATTATCAATTAACAGAAATTCTCAGTAAAACAACATTAAAAAATCATAAAACACTAAAAAAAAAAGAAAAAAATTAAAAAAACAATTTTTTCTGAAATTTCTATGCAAATATATGTTATTTTTCTATAGTTACAGTTAAGCCGTCAAAGGTGTTCATCTCTCTTAGTGTCGGACTGACAACTTGTGATATGATCGAACCAAAATATATGAAGCTTAGTATCATCTATATAAAAAAAAAAAATCCTTTTAATTTTTTTTAACTTTGCTTAAATAATTGTGCACAATAATAAAATAATAAATAAATAATAAACAATGTATAATTAATATTATATTCAAATGAAATAATTATGGTTTTAATATTCTTTAATCATTTGTTATGTTGATTTCAATTTAATCTAAAAAAAACTATTTTTAATTAAAATCAAAATTAAATTTTAAAGATGTTTTAAATTTAAATAAATTCATAAGTTTAATTTATGAAGAGATACCATTTTAATTTATAAAGAGATACCATTTTAAACCACTGAAGCTCTTACCTTTTAATTTTTTTAATTGTTTTGTGTGCAGGTTTAATTGTATTGTGTGCAGGTTTAATTTGATTGTGTGCAAGTTTAAACACTTTTGGAAATTATTTGAGCTCAGAGTGGAAAACATTTCCCAGATCTTTCCAATTTCATGCTTTAGTTTACCAAGAGTAGCAAACTCAAGTTAAAACATGTTCTATAAATTACTTTGAAAATAAAAAGACCACAGCTACAAAACATTTCTAAATATTATCTAGCACATTTGCAATCATTGGCTATCCAATTTGCATAAACTTGTATTTACCCAAATTTTAGACCATGAGCCAATCATTATACTAAAACAGGTACAAAGGTGCAGATAAGCTGTCATAAGCATAAGTTTTAACATGGGAAATCATATGACTGGGATTGATGCACAGAATAAAGTTTTAAAAACAGAGCCTAGTGTTACTTCTTTCTGATTGAATACCATCAACAACAATACCCAGTTGCCTATTAGATAACCATACAGCAAACAAAATACAAAAAACTAAAAATATTATTTCATACATCACATATTCTATAGTTTCATTGTTAAAAATTTTAAATCTCAAGAGATTGTTATAATTTTTCTGATTTAAGTTGTTTGTCTGTTTTTATTTGACTGTCTGCTGTTATTTTTATTTATTTGTTTGATTATTATTGAGACTTTATATATGAGAAAGAGATGACATATGAGACCATATGGGGACAATATGAGACCATATGGGGACAATATGAGACCATATGGGAACAATATGACATCATATGGGGACAATATGAGACCATATGGGAACCATAAGGGAAAATAAAGTAGGAGATGTATTAGAAACCTATGAGGATCCTGGTGGATAATTCATACAGGTTTTTATGGGAATCATGCATCTCCTGCTGAGGTCCAATTGGGATACTAATTTTGGCTGGCTGGGTAAAATATTTACTAAGTAATTAGTTAATGACTAAAATTCTATAAAAAAAATATAACTGCAATTTTAACTAAATATAAGTTAAAATTTTGTCTTAAAATTCAGAAACTGTATATACCAATCAAAATCAATTGACAAGACTTGTCAGTTTTTTTTTAATTAAAAAGCATCATTTCTATTAAACTAACTTTCCTTCCTTTTTTTTTTCTTCCATTTTACTAAAAATTTTCCAGCTACGAAAATCCATGCTCGTGTTATTTGTCATTCAATTAAGTCTCACCCTTTTACTGTGACTGTTCCTAAGTGCTCCAAAATTCTTATTCGTCGTTTTTTCTCAAACATCAGTTCTTTGGGATTCATTCCCTTCATCTTGTTTTCCTGATTTATATAAATTGCAATCTTTTAAGTCGTCTGTTAATTGTTATCTTGCTTTATAAACTTTATATTTTCTCTTCCATATATATATATATAAATATATATATATATATATATATATATATATATATATATATATATATATATATATATATATATATATATATATATATATATATATTACTAATCCATATGCATACAACAGCTTAAATTATTGTAAAGAATTGTTTTTAGATGCAGTAAATTGTTTCAAAGCAAAATAGGGCCAACAATAAACTGCTTTTTGCAACAATAATAAACTGTCTTGCAATTTAATTGATTAGTTTGATTTAGTTGCTGGATGTTGTTTATTAATTTAATTGTACATATGTTTATTGTACAAAGAAAAAAGGTTTGTGTAGACATTTAAAACTTAGTAAAAAATACAAAGAATTCACTTGGATGAGTTTTATACAATTAGATTCTATATCAAGGAATATATTCACAAGCAGATGATCATACTCAGTGCTAGATTAGAAAAAACATCCAAAACAATACATTAAAACCTAAACAAGACACTGAAAAAGTTTGTTGCATGAAATTATGAGAAATTAGAAGTCATGTTTTTTGATTACAATTCAGCATAATTGTTAGGGGATTGTCAAGAACCAGCCCTCAGAATTAGGAAAAATGAGGTCAGTAATATTTTGCAGACCTTAATCTGTAAGAGGACGGCATCAGGTCCACAAAAAAAAATTGATACAAAGGTTTAACCATAAAACATAGAAATGCGGTTGGCAATGTTTTGCCCACCTAAAACACTTCTAGTTCAGCAGTTTGGTCAATTTTTTAAATTGCTGAATGCCAACCCTGATTCGGAGGGCTGAAGAGCAAAATAACTTTATATATATATAATTTTGACACCTTAATAAGAATTTATGTCTTACATTTAGAAATAAGGGTCAAAAAATAAAAAAAATGTACATAAAATTTTTGAATTTAAGGTCAAAGTTTTTTATTGTCATTTTATTAAAAATATTTGTTACACAGTTTTATGTAAATTAAAATAAATATAATTAGAATAAAAATAGACTTTTAAATTTTATTTTTTAATTAATAAAAATTTTAAATTAAAAGTAAACAAATTCTCATCTGAAGTCCTATTAAACTTGCAAGTCAAAACTCCAATCTGATGCCCTATAAATTGCCCATCAAAAAACTCGCCGCATCAAAAAATTCTCTTATTTAAGTTTTGATCTTGCTTTTTTTTTAATTAATTTTTACTATCATCAGCTTACCTGAAAATTATTATTTACATACTGCTTACCTGAAACCCCATAACAATCTCAGGAAACCAATGAATTGCTACTATAGAGGAAGAACCTATAAACAAATTAAACCTATAAACTGAAAATATAAATATTGTTAATTAAATATTATTTCATAAACATTTGTTTAAATACTTCAGACAATATTTTTATTAGTTTTATATACAGCCTAAAATAAAACATATAAGACAAAAATAGTTTAAAGATAATTATCAATTCAATAATTTTATAAAATTGCTTGTATTCTAATTTAAGCTTAAAAATGTTTACCACACAGTGTTCCTGTAGATATTGATGTAAACAACATTTGTAAATATAATCCTAACGCATATAAACTTTCACCATGTTTGATTCTAACATTAGAAAAAGACTCTGGCTAAAAACACACGAACAAATATAAGAAAAAATATCTAAATTGCAATTAAAAAAATTGAAATATTATCAACCAAAACATGAGCTACAAACCATTTTCTCCTGAAAATACGATCAATAAACAAATAAATTTCTCACCAAAACATGAGCAACAAACGAATAAATTCCTGCAAACAGAAACAGAGAAGATAAGTAAGACTGTAGCAAAAACTTTGTTGTTGCAGTTTTATGAATATATTGCTTGGTCAGCTTTACTAAAAAAATCAACAGTAAAAAGTTAATAGTAAAAATCAACAGTTAAAGTCAAAATACAAAATTCTAACTAATATAAATAAAAATGAAAATCATATTTTCAGTATACAGCCTACATAAATCAATTAAAAAAAACATTGCAGGTACATAACATTATCTTATTAAATGCTTTTAACAAAGTCATTATATATAGCAAATTCGTTATAATAGAAATTGATAAGTAACATTTTTGAAAATGCTACTATTAACATACTAGATATTGCAAATATTTTATCGTGGCAATATCCAAATGAAACTTGTATACTCATGCAAAACAAAGATCTCAGCTAGATAGATTAAAGAAAACTTAATAAAACTTATAAGAATTATGCAAATTTAAACAAATGCCAAATTTTGATAAAAAGCCAAAAAAAACAGATCCACAGTCACTTGATGAAATAAGTAACGATTTACCTAATTATATAAAACTTTATGAGACAAAAGGGTATTGCCTAAAAGGTTATTTTAAAAACAAAGTTTTATTAGGAATATGTGTTAACTGAGATTTATGATGTCATACCAAAATAGCCATTTATAAGCTATATTATAATAAAGTTCTTTGTTTTCCTTTTAATTCCATTATACTGTTCAGGAGTTCTAAATATTGCCCCTTAAAAATAATATATTTTAAAAAGTTTAGGATTAAAGGATTATTATTGTTTTTATTTAAGGTACATTATCATTGTTATTATTCATGTGCCAATTGTCTTATTTTGTTTTAGTTAAAAAGGTTGGCAATTACAACCAATGTATTAATGAACCAATCTTAACCACTCCATTTATGAACCAATTTCAACCATTGTATAAATTAAGCAATTGTATTAATTAACTAATCACAATCACTGCATTAATTATTAATAATTTAATTAACTATTAATCTTCAAGTTAATATTTTTTTAACAATTGTTTATGTTTATTAACAATATTAACTTACAACCTAGTCCTCTGACTATAGCAGACTCTTAAGGAGATTTTTTTAAATCTGGCAAATCAGAAAGACCTGCAGTTGTGTCGTGCCACGACAGTTTTCATGCAATAACAATATTTATTAACTTTGACATGACAAAATTAACAAAATTCTTAAAACAAATTTTATTAAATAAAATAAATATTATAAAACAATAAAAAAAATATTTTTACAAAAAAAATTAATTAAATCAACCTTTTAAAATTATTGAACAAACTAAATTTGTAAATTGAAAAACCACCATAACAGCTATCTCCTATATAAGCAATCTTGAATAACTTAATAATCTGCTCAATAAAATTAAATACAAATTGTTAAACAAATTCATCAAAAATAATTTACCGCAATATAATAGCTCTGATATTCTCCTTTTTTTAGGTGAAATATATCAATCACTTCCAGTATAATGACACATAAAATCTAGAAAGTATAAATACAAAATATAACACATAAAGATTATATATATATATATATATATATATATATATATATATATATATATATATATATATATATATATATATATATATATATATATATATATATATATATATATATACAACTTTATAGCAATAAAAAACAGGTAACTCAAAAAACACAGTATGTCAAGCAACAACAACAGGTAACTTTTTGTATTTATAATTTAATTTATCAATTGTTTTAAATTTTTGCTGTTTGAGTGAAAAAATTTTTTTTACCTATGATAGGTATGATAACTTTTAATTATTTCAGCAAAACATTTTTTTGTTTTAAATTTAAAAAGTATTTCTTTTCTTTTTCCTTTTTTTTTTTTTGATATAATGATTGATTTTATCAATTGGCAAATAATCCTTCCGACTATCATCTTTTTTCAACATAACTATAAAATAAATATTGTTATTATAACAATATATTAAAAAATTTCTAATCTGATAACAAAAATACTTTCTCTGAAATAAAAAAGTTAAATATTAAGTTATTGAACAATCAAGGTAGCCTCATTAAATCAGGTAGCCTCATTAATTCAAAAATCTACACAATCAAGATTCAGTGTTTCTTTTAATTTAACTTATGTCAAACAAAACATAGCTCATTTTAAAATTTAGCTTTTATAATTTTATCATTTTTTTTTAATTTTATCATTTTAATTTAGTTTTTATGTCGCATAAAATGTAATAAGCCGAGTGAAAGAGAGCAGCTAATTTAGGTTCAATTCTTTTCAAATATACAAATCTTAATAGTAAAAAAAAGTTGAAGAAGAAGTTAAGTAAATAAAACAAATAGCTGGGAAAGGGTGTTAATTAAAAAGATTTCAGAAAATGTTGCTATTTTTATTATTATTATTATTATCATTATTACTTTTATTGTTACTTATTTTACTGTTCTTATATTTATTATTATTACCAATATTATTACTGATTGTTTCTTTATTGATGAATTTCTGTTTTTTTTTAATATCCAGATTTAACATCACCTAGTTTAATCTTGTAGGACTCAGCATTACCTAGCATGATCAAGTGTGACCTAGTGTGAACAATTTAACTTACTACCATTGAAAATTTAAATGTTAAAAATTAATAAATAAACAAAATTTTTATAATAAAATTAAATTTTAAACAAATTATAAAAAACAAACCTGCCAAAAAATAGTAATAAAAAAAACTCTTTCTGATAACCGTACTGAAATTCTTGGACTAAAATAGTAATAAAAAAAACTCTATTAATTGTACTGAAATTCTTGGGCTAAACATAAATTAACATAAATTATTTTCACTAAATTTTTTTTTTGCAATCAACTAATTGATTTTATATTAAAAATTTTTTTAATTTTAGTCAGTAATTTTTTAAAATAAGAAATGAAAAAATTTCAGTTTTCAACCAAATAATAAATCATTTTTAACATTGGGATAATTAAAATCTTTGGAACTTTATTTTCTTTATTATTGATTAAAATAAACTGATTCAATTCAATTCAGTGCAAGTACAAGCTATTGCTATCAAAAGTTTAAGTTTAAACAAGTTTTTGGTAGAAACAGTAAACAAATTTTCAATAGTGTATGAAAAATACTGTTGTTATTTTATAAAAATACATTTCTTCTTAACTTATAGAAATACTGTGTTGTCCATCAATTATTCGTTTAATGTTATAAAAAATACAGTTTGCCAGTCTTTAAAATGTATTGTTTTGCCTAAAAAATTTTAATTTAAAATTTTAGAGGTTGCACCTGGTTCATCACACACACCTAAAATCTCACAACATCTTAGTCTAATATCTTAGAACCAATAAACTTAAATATTAAAAATTTTTTTTTTGTCTTGCATTATTAAATGAAAGGAAATATAATGAATATATCTAAGTTTTCTAATTTTCATTGTTAAAAAAATGAAAAAAGTAAATAAAAAAAAAACTGTTTAATGTTTCAGTTTAACAAAAAACTGAATGATTTAACAAAAAAAACGGAAAACTATAAGAAGATTTTTTACATATATCAGAGTGGCATTTTAAGATGTCGTAATACAAACTCTATGACAAAAACTAAATATTTTTAACAAATAATTTTCATTAGAAAACCAAAAAAAAAAACCCAATAAAAAACCTATTTTTTAAGAGAAACCAAAACAAAAAACTTTTTTGAGAGAAACATAAAGCCATAATTTAATAAAAACAAAAAAACATAAAGTAAAGGTTTTAAACTAAGTTAACAAAGTTTTAACAAAGTAAATCAATCTTAAACCTTTTAATGAGACTGAAACTGGACCTAAAACTGGACTTGGAGTGAACTTGAACATTTTTGTCTTAATTAAAAATAACAATTTCTCTAAAAATTCAAAGTTTTTTACTTAAAAAAACAACAACATTCAAAGTAACCTTTTTTTTAATGCATAAAGTTCCTCATAAGTTTGAGTATCTCTTAACTGTCCTCTTATAGCTTGGGTTGTGTTTTCCATGATCTTAACAAGCTTCATTGTATTGTCAAACACATTTTTTTGAGATGCAGATAACTTCCTACCAACAGGTGGTAATCTAATGCGTTCATTTTCCATTTTAAAATGGTTGTTTGATTGATTAATGTGAGTTGATCCATACATTTTTAATACATACTGCAAGTTTAGAAAATTAAATTAAATTTGCAATTATAAGGACATACAATAAAAATATTAGTTATTATATAATAACAGTATATTAGCATTCAACAATATATTGAGATTACCACAAAAAAAATGCATTATTATATTCAAATTAACACATATTACAAATGTATTTAATATAAAAATATTTTACCCATGTATAAAATGTGATGTATTTAAAATATTAAAAACCACATTACTGATGTATTACAAACCAAACTTATTACTGATGTATTAAAAATCTCATTTATTACTTTGTATTAAAAACCTCATTTAGTACTTTGCATTAAAAACCACATTTATTACTGATGTATTACAAATCACATTTACTACTGATGTATTATAAACCACATGCATTACTGATGCATTAAAAACCACATTTATTACTGACGTATTACAAATCTTTGTACATATATTACTGATGCATTACAAACCTTTGCACATATACCACTGATGTATGTTAAATGTATAATTTTGTACTAATGATAATAACATTAAAATACACATAGTTGCTTTTCAACTACCAATGTGGCACAACCAGGCTTGTAGAGCAGCAGTTCTGGTAAATAATAGAGCAGCAGTTCTGGTACAACTACAATTACTAATTTACTATCAACATAGATCAACTTTGATTTGTTATAATGTTTTGAACATGATACATCAAGCTATGTGTAAAAAAGATTATTATGAAAAAACATTATTTATAAAAAAAATATTACTTATAAAAGTATAAAACTTATGTTTACAGATGCTTAAAATATTTAAAAACCAAAACTTCATACAACATATAAAAAATTTTAATAATATAAACTTTATATATATATACTTTCAAAAATTTTAGTTAAGGATAAAAACTATTATTTTGAACAAATAATTGTTCAAAAATTTTGTTAAAAGTTTCAAACATTTTCATTATATTATCTATTACCCTATTAACAATATATGTCACTGTAATCATATATTATTCATATATTAACAATACATGTTACTGTAATCATATATTATATATGTTACTGTAATCATTACCAAAAAGGGTTCAGCCATTACTTATATCTTTGCATGAACATTGAGATTTAAACCAACAGCATTTATAATTTCAGGATCAAAACATAAAACTTTTTTGAAGAAAAATTTGAAAAGTTTTTTATTCAACAAATTCAAAAAACAGTTGATTACTTAAACATAACTTATTTTTAAACATAATTAAATTATTTTTAAAAATAATTAAATCATTTTTAAACATAACCTTAAAGTGTTTATAACAAATTTAAAAAAAATTCAAAATTAAACTTAATATTTTGGTTATTTAATGAAATTAAAAAATTAATTTAAACCTACAGTTATGTAAAACCTGTACAAAATACATAACAGTTAAAACACTTTAACAATGTTTTGAAAATAAAATCTATCAAAACTTTTATTATCTACCAAACTATGCACACAAAAAAAATATTTTATTTTAAAGTTTTCTCTATTTTCCAATGTTTGGTGACAAAACCTGTCAGTGCAAAAACAGCAGCAAGTGCAAGAAGTTTCACCATCACAGACAGAGTAAAAACTTCTGACATATCAGTTACTTGAGAAAGCATGCAGCCAGTTTGACAGCATATAAAATTGTAGGGAAGAAGGCCTAAAAAAAATGATGGTCTATAAAAACTATTACACTGTTAATTATTTGGAAAATAAAATTATTTGGAACCTTTAACAGATGAAATTTATAACAATAAAGAAATTTATCATTGCTAAACACTTTAAACTGTCAACATAAGTTCAAAACATTAATAAATCATTTAAGTTCACAAACTCACAAAAAGCAGAGCAGAAATAATCCGTTTTAGGTTGTTATTTATAATGCACACTATTTTTTATTTTAATTAATTTAACTGCCTAAGGGTCCAGAGAAGGCAACTAACACTTTTCTGTAATAAATCTGCTTGATGTATCCCTTCTAACTTTCTAACTGCTTGATATATCCCTTCTAACTTTCAACAAATAGACTACATTGGATGAAAACCAAAAGTTATCTAATATTGTGTCTTATTTGTTAAAGACAGTGAAAAAATATCTTTCAAATAAAAAGTATTGACAACATAATATGTGATAAATTACTAGAACATATTGTGTGACAGAAATTTATTTTTATTATAAAAAAATAATAAATAATGAATATCAAGTTGTATGCTAAGTTTGACCACCGGTCTTTATTTGTAAAAGACATTTTCAGCAAACTCAAGAAATCTGGATAACTTTGATGAAAACATATGAACATTAGTGAGACACAATTATGAATAAAAAAGTATGCAAAAAGGATGTGAAAAAGGAGTTGTTATTCGCCACAACAACAACTTTTTCAAAAAAGGCTGTCAGAGCCATGTCTTGAATCTGACATTAAAGTATATACTTGACTTATTATTATTATTAGCATTTGTTATTTATTATTAATAATATTATTATTTAATATTATTATTAGCACTAAAGCATATACTTGACTTGACCTAAACAATTGCAAAACACATGTTTTAAATAACTTTTTTGATAATACTATTAACAAATATCATTCCATTTAAACAGGATACAAAGTAGTAGTGGTAAGCATACAAATTTTCTAAAAACTACAAACTTGTCCCTACATCCATAGGCTTCCGATTAAAAACCTTCCTTCAAAGTATTGCGCTAAATGAAACTCAAATACTACATACTCTGGTGTATTTTTTTATATTAGCCCATTTTTTTTGAATATACTTATCTTTCTGAGGTTACACAGCCAATACATTCAAGCAAAGCTACTTTTTTTTTTTAATCACTGTTGCAACCCTAGCTAAACCTTTAAACTTCAAAAAACAAGACTTGATAAACAAAGCCACTGGGCAGTAACAAGTCAAGCACAGTAATACCAGAGATACGATGGAGTGAACTCAAAACTTCTTGTTTACAATGTGAATGCCCTACTACTACACCACTACCACCATTAAATCACTACACCATTATCACTTTTGAAACCAGTTAAAAAATTTATATATTTTATATATAAAGTTTTATAGTCACTATATGAGTATTAGAATGTTCAATCAACATTTTAACCCAAGTGTCTATACTGAAATACTGACTGCTATCTCAGTCTTGGTTCTCAAATAGCATTGAAGCTCTTTATAAGATACTAATGATATTCCCCAGTATAAAAATTGTTGCATAAAAAGCTGTGGTTTCAAAACTCGATTTAAAACTTGTTAATACAAATAAAATGTCTTACAAAGTTATAATAATTATATTTATTGTTAATTGATTGTAAAGTTTGAATCAAATTTAATGTAAAGCTAATTCAACTTGATTTTTAACATTTCAGGCTGACTGTTATAGATGAGCGTATTTTCAAAGGCTTTCACATATTTTGTAACAGAATTATAAATTAGTGCGCTTTCAATGACCAAACACTAAAAGATGGTTTTAGTGCTGGGTCATTCGTCAAAATAAGAGCTCTAGGTAATTGTACAACAAGGTAATAAAACAATATAAAGTAATAAAATAACAGACCCCTGGCTGTAAAAAATTTAAATCAAAACCTTAGTACAGATCAAAAAAACATTTTGAAACACTTTAAATTGTGATAATATGAAAAAATTTAAACAATAAAAAGTTACCAATAAGAACAGAAAAAAAGAAATATGGTAATGGAATTCCAATAACTGGTGAAACCATGTTTAAAAACCAATTTGGAGACATTGGAAATAACCGAAGACATAACAAAAAAAAGAATATTCCATCTTGATTGTTTTTAAGCTGAAAAAGAAATATTTAATAAAAATAATAAAGAGAAATGGTAAATTAAATCAAAAATTCAAAATTATCAATAACTAAATGAAAAGAATTTTAAATGAAAAACAATAATTACCTTTTCTTGAAATGCATATACCTTTAAGGGGAAAAAATGCATAAGAATACTTTTACCAAAAATCATAGATAAAGTATAACACAAACTTGCTCCAAATGCTGAGAGTAAGCTTGTGATTAGAACTGACTTCCATAAACCAAACAATGCTCCTGCCAACAAGTTCTAAATTTACAAAATGTTAAAAATTATAATTTTTAAAAACAAAATTTAATAACTTTACTCTTGTTTAGAAAGCCACAAAATCACTAATCCAGATATTTAGTGTCCAGGAGCTCTAAAAATTTGAGAAATTTACAAATCTGTTTGGGGGAGACAATTAGGTCAGAAGAACTTAACAATTTTAAACACGGAGTTCTTATGTATAATGGTGGCCAGAGGCTTACCGACTTCCATGTCAAAAAAAAGATTTAAAGACAAATCTTCTGTATTTTTTTCTAATGTAGAAAATAACGTAGAACATAATGTAGAACATAAGTCTTTCTATATTGAACACCTGAGCACTAAATATCAAGAATAAATAATTTTTCAAGAGTAAATGATTTTCACAACCATTTTTAATTTTCATTGTTCTAAAATTTTGTTCCAGTACAACTTTCAAAAACCACTAAAGAAAAAGCCTAATAAATAGCTTATCTTTTATTATCATAGAATCAAAAAATTGACTAAACAATGCTAAAATAATTGTTTTTAATGTATAGATTATAGTTTTATTGCATAAATTATAATTTTACAAACTATTATCAAAAGTTCAAACTATTTATTAACAAATATCTAATATTAAATATTTTAATATAAAAAAGAAGAGAATATTAAATCTTTTCTAAATAAAAATGAATTTTTAAATATGTATATAAAAAATAATTAAGTTACAATTAGTAACAAGAATAATTGTGCACGACTGTTTAGAAAGTTTACAAATACAATGACAAGAATAATTGTGTACAATTGTTTAGAAAGTTTACAAATACAATAACAAGAATAATTGTGCACAATTGTCTAGAAAGTTTACAAATACAATAACAAGAATAATTGTGTACGATTGTTTAGAAAGTTTACATTACATACAGCGTACAGTTATTGAAAAAGTTCTTCTAAATTGCTCCTTATAAAAACTAAACATAATGTGTATAAGCACAAAGTACACTTTGTTTTAAAACAAAGTAAATGTACATTTTGTTTTTATACACTAGATATAAAACATAAACAAAAAAGTACAAAAAAAGGAATAAGTAAAAAAATACTTCGGATTAATTAGCTAAATAAAAAAATATAACTTATATGTTAAAAATTAACATGTACAATTTTATAAAAAAGTGTACATAAAATGCAAATGCCATAACAATACTACTGTGTAAATATATAAAATAAGTTGAAGAAAAATTAATGCAAAAGATATTGTATTTTTGTATAAAGTTCCAGTATTAACAATATTTATAATACTAACTTATTAATTATACAAGATTTAGTATTAACATTTAAAATCAAAAGAAAACCTAAAGAGATAAAAGATTTTAAAAAACTTATTTTAAATTCTGTTGGTAATGTAGTCTATTACTGCAGTCTTTCATGAAAGTATGATTCTCCTTTCATGAAAGTTGGATTCTTTTGTGATAGAATTCTGTACACTTAATTTGCCATTAATAATGTAACAATGCCTGTAAAAACACTATTCTAAAATTACAAAAACATTCTGAAACATAAAAACATTACTTTGAACCAAAAAAACATTGTTCTAGAATATAAAAATAATTCTCAAACAAGAAGAAGTTTAAAAAACAACTTTCCCGACCATAAATCTTAAATCATTATAAATATTTTCTATTACAATAAAATATTCATCAAGAAACTATTCCTTAATGGCTACAAACAAATTTTTTAATAAATTTTTTTCATACCATAAATACAGATCCAGGAATCGCAAATGCTTGCTTGTATAGGTAGCCAGAACAAAAAAGCAACAAAACAATCAAGTAGTTTTCATCTATGTAATGTTTTAGATAGTGCTCTATATCTTTAAGTTGTTCAAGATTACTTGGAAAAGATAAAACATAGCTGAAAAGTAAAATTAAAAATAAAATTACTTTAGCATAGGCTATATGTATGACTTATGTAAGCTTTATACAGGTTGCACAAAAGCTACATATTCACTATATATAAGCAGTATGTATGTTATGTTGCTTACATAAACTGTATTTATGTTGCTAATGTAAACTGTATGTAAGCTGTGTATAAACTGTATGAAGGTTGTAAAACATTCAAAGAGACTAATAAATACTCAATAAACTGTTAAAAAAACATTTTCCTTTAACAATAATAACTTGGGATAGAAATTAATTTTTTAAGAAGAAAAAAAAAGAAAGAAAGTTTGTAAAAAAATGAACATAAATTATAATATCTTATGCTGTCTTGTTTTATAAATTCTTCTGTGTCATTGTCAAACATTAGAAGTTGTGTATATATATGCATACGTACATTCATACATATATGCATACATATATCATATACTTATAATTTTTTTTAAAGTAAACAATGTTAATTTTTTTTGTAGTTTATCTGAGCCATTTATGGTACTTTTGTCCTCCTATCAAAATGACATTTTACAAATTCTTAAAGTTTTAATCAACAAATAATTTTGGTAACAGACATCATTTATTGGAGACATTTTAAACTATAAATGAAAATAATTTTTCATTTATAATTTGTAAATATTGATAACTATTGAAATATTGATAGCTATTGAATTTATCAATTAGCACCAAATTAAAAATGTCAATTTTTAGCGCTAAATGATAAATTTTGATGATTTGCATATGAATATAAAGGTAATTTTGTAATTTGCATTTGGATTTTGATAACTAAGCAATTAAAACCTCAATGGACAAAAAAAAAAAAAAAAGTTGCTAAGTGTATGAAACTGTATCGTATGAATTGCTATTGTATGAATCGCTATGAAAACTTGAACTCAAGTGTCAAAGTTAAATCATTTAAATGTTGGTGCTGAACAATGGAGTAAATGTTGGTGCTGAACAATGGAGTAAATGTTGGTGCTGAACAATGGAGTAAATGTTGGTGCTGAACAATGGAGTAAATGTTGGTGCTGAACAATGGAGTAAATGTTGATGCTTAACAATGAAGTAAATAGGAATACTGTAAAACAATGCCACTAGAAAAAGAATTCGACTTTAGTTTACTAAATAAATTCGCTTTTATTTATCAAACTTTTTTTCCCTTTAATATGAGTAAATTTCTCTATTTTTTGCACAGAACATTTAGATATGTCGCTTATCGTCAATTTACATGGTTAACGTACTGCAAACTTTGAAGGTATAATCAAAAAATTCTAATGGCATTTGTTATTTCAGCAATAAGAGCCAGGTTTCCAGATAATAATAGAATTTACACAAATTTTAATGGTGAAAACGAAGGTACTTTAGGGATATCTGAAGTTGAAGAGGCATGGAAATAAATTGAAGGGTTTGAATTTTAAAATATGAAAACAACGACTATTTTCATAGCAACTAACTATAAAAAATGTTATTAGCACTAACACACTTTGTTTAATGGTATAAATAAACATACATGCATACATACATACACACATACATACATACATACATACATACATACATACATACATACATACATACATAAATACATACATACATACATACATACAATATATGCATGCATGTATATATAACAGCGCCGCTGTTTAAATATTCTGTTATAATTAACAGCGCCGCTGTTTAAATATTATGTGATATTAGTTAAATTCCAAAAACCCTTCATAAATAATTTTTACAGAAATTCTAAAATGTCATATACTAAAACTATTTGGAACTAAATATTATCAAGTCTGTAGATTTTGAAGTTTATTCTAAAGACTTAAAGCAACTTGCTAACATGAAGATGGCAAGCTTTAAATTAATCTACAAAGTTATTTTTTCTTGGTATACGTTTATTATTTTGTTTTACTCAAAAAAATTCAGCATAAACATATTTTTTATCATTCTCTTTAATATGAACACAACTTGTCTCTGCACTTTTAACAATTATTAAAAACGATTTTTATTTTTTATTTTTTTGCGATTTTTATATTAATTATTTTATTTAGAATTTAAATAAAACGCTGGTTTCACCTTCTTTTTTTAAGAAACAAATTCATAAAAATAAAACAAAATTGATTTGTTAAGTTTAGCAAAAAGTGGTCTTATAAATAATAATTGTTGCGATACAAGAGTTTCTCTTGCGATTGTGGGTATTGTAAAAGTTGAACCTCAATTGCTTTGTGAATCTTATGTGTATTAGTTATTAGGCATAATAGAAATTATTTTTTGTTTAGTCCAGTTAAATGTACCACTAGAATGTTCCGAGTGTTAAACTATACCTAATACATCCCAGTTGCATTTAGTTATGTTTCTCTCATGTTCATTGATGCGTGTTTTTTTCTTTCTTGTTTTACAGATTGAACATTACATCAACAAAATGATAAAAACCTGAATAACTATTTGGATGCAATATTTGTTGCAACATAAAATGTTAAGCAAAGAATTACCATAGTGAAAAACGGTGTTTATACCTACTCTACAAAACTCTCTTTTAATACACATCTGATCCATTTAATTTCATCTTTTAAGTATAATGCATATCTGATCTAGTAATTTCATTTTTTAAGTATAATGCACATCTGATCCAGTAATTTCATCTTTTAAGTATAATGCACATCTTTTTTTTTTAAACATCTTTGCTTCCAACAAGGCTGCAAGCAGCCACTAATTAGTGTTGGAAGTTACTGGAAGAGAAAAGATGAAGATTATAGAGCAAGATAACGATTGAAAGACGACTTACAAGATTATATGAATCAGGAAAGCAAGATGGAAGCGAATTCCGAAAAACTGATGTTCGATTAAAAAAACTAGACAAATAATAGTTCTTGAAGCATTTAGGAACAGTCACAGAAAAAGGATGAGACTTAAATGAAAGACGAGTAACACGAGAATGAATTATAGTAGATGGCACAAGAGACGCTAGCTCTTTAGGGCAGTGCCCATTATAGTATTTGTAGAAAAAAGAAAGAGAAGCAAAATTACGATGTGACAAAGGTTGAAGGTTGGCTGCAAGAGCAGGTCCAACTATGTTTACAATGTGTTTTTGTACCTTGTCTAAAAGAGAAAGGGCATCAATAGAAGATCCGCCCGGATTCGATATAAGGTTTCCAAGAAAGATCAGAAGTAAGAGTTATTCTTAGAAGATGAAGGGTAGTTGACTCATCGACATTACTGTTCATAAATAAAGGATGGTCTAAATTATTGTGATAATGATTGGCTGAAAAAAATTGAGCTTTATCTGAATTAAAGTTCACCAGCCACTGTGAGCCCCATGCTGTAGCAGAAGTGAGATCCTTTTCAAGCTCAGATGCCCCCTGCAAGCAATCAGAGAGAGTTGGCTTCTTATCGTGACAAGAATAAATGGTAGTATCATAAGCGAACAATGCCACCTTGTATGTGAGAATATCTGGAAGATCATTAATGTAAATTAAAAAGAGTATAGGGTCAAGGATTGAACCTTGAGGAACCCCTGAGGTTACAGAATAAGAAGAAGAGTGCTGTCCATCAAGGACAACTTTAATACTATAATTGGAAAGGAAGGATTCAATAATCTTAAAGATGTTTTCCAGATACACCATAAGAAAAAAGCTTATGGAGAAGACCAGCATCCCAAACTTTATCAAACGCTTTAGAAATATCAAGAGCGATGGCCTTAACCTCTCCACCTTTATCTAATGCGCAATAAAACCTATCGCTTATTACTGTTAGCAAATCAGTCATAGAATGAGAAGATTGAAATCCATATTGATGATCAGAAAGTAAGTTACTAGATTCAAGATGAGAGATTGAGTGTTTGTTAATAAGGAATTCAAAAACTTTTCTTATGATAGGAAGAAGACTAATGGGACGGTAGATTGACGAATCAGATTGCTCTCCAGAATTTTTTAAAAATAGGGATAACAGATTCTGCTTTCCAGCAGGCTGGAAAACAAGACTCTGATAAGCACTTGTTGAAAAGTTTAGAAAGGATAGATGACAGCTCCTGAGAACACTCCTGCAAGACTATAACAGGTATGTTGTCCGGGCCGCAAGCTGTAGAAGAGTCTAAGCAGGAAATCACTTTAGATACAGTAGCTGGAGTGATACGGATGTCGAGCAATTGATCAACCTGTTTGACAGCTATATCAGGTAGAATGCAACTAGTGGAGTCAAGAGATGATATTGATGAAAAGTTCTTAGCAAACAATTCAGCTTTGTCTTTAGGTGAGGTGACAAAGTCTGAACCATACAAAAGAGGTAGATCTTTCTGATCCAATAGTTTCATCTTTTAAGTATAATGCACATCTAATCCAGTAATTCCATCTTGTAGAAAAACTTTTTTTATCAAAAAAAATAGAAAAATTGTTTCATAGAAAAAAAGTGTTGTTAAAATTTTATTTACAAAAATTGTACATTCTACAACATAGATAAATTCATAATTTTAATTGTAATTTTTTAAAAATACTTGTATAGATTTTTAAAGTTTCAGCAATAAATATAGCTTGATATTTATTTTATAAGATTGTATAAATAAATTATAACAAGTCTGATATCAAAAAGCACAAAAAGAAACTTGGCATAAAAAAGCTATTTTTTCCAACTCTGCTTTCTCACTATCCCACAGTGATATATTTTATACCATCAATGAAATAAAAAATCATTTATATTAAAAAAAAAGAAAACCTCGACTTAGATGCTGGAAGTAATCTTGTTAACTGGAAAAGTAGATACGAAGAAAATCCAAATATGCTAATTAGTCCAAAGAGAGCAATCAGTACATTCATTTTTTCTGTAGTCTTTTTAAAGCAAATAATGCACTCATTATTCTGCCATTTTTTTGAATTTTTATGTATGCTACAAAGTATTTATAAACATAAAAACTAAAATGAACAAAATAAAACGTATATTAAGTATTAAATTATTATTAATGTAATTATATAAATGCATATAATTATTAAATTACTATTATTTAAAATGATGTACAACAGAACTTAAAAGTTTAGTTTGAAAAAACTGACTAAAAAATACTAATAAGTTAAAAAATACTCGTTGATTTTGATATCTAAGTTTCGTTTTATGTCTTTATGGTTATATAAGAAAATCTGGAATTATCTTTATGCAGTTCTTAGTTTATTTCAGTTCTTGCTTTATGCAGTTATATATCTTAAATGCAGTTAAACCTTGTGAACATTTATCTTTACATCATTAAACATATAATACAGAAGGATTTCTCTAAAATACTTTTATTAAAATGCAATTACTTATTATTTCTTAGAATGCAATTATTTATTATAACTTTTTTAATTAATTCTACAAATCTTTCTTTTTCTGGAAGCAGGAAATCACTTAAGATGCAGATGCTAGAGTGGTATGAATATCAAGCAATGGATCAACCTGTTTATTGGCTTTATTAGGTAGGTAACGATTGGTGGAATTAAGAGATGAGATTGATGAAAAATTCTTGGCAAATAATTCAGCTTTGTTTTTATGTTAGGTAACAAAATCTGAAACATGCAAGATTAGTGGAATAACATATTTGTCCTTATTATAGACACTGTTAAAGGTTCTCCAAAAGTCTATGGAGCTTAATTTTTGCATAAAATTAAAAAAAAAAATCAGCGAAAATCAGCCTTAAAAATTAGAAAATAATTATTTCAGTCACCAATAAAAACAAAAACTTTTAGTCTTTAAACTTTAAACTTGACGACCTCAGCAAATTTTCAGCAAATCTCAATTTGTTGAAAATAATATTTTGGATTCTTTCTCATTAAAGTATAAAACTTATATCACCATATTGAATCCTAATGAAATTATGATAAAACAGGCTGTTTTTAATTCAGGAGTGCGCATTAAGGAGTGTACCATCTGCTTTTTTCCTGGCCTGTGGGAAACTGAAATAGTTTTTATTTCTCATTTAAGTCGTCCGCTATAATAATTTATAGTCCGGCATAACAGTTTTTTTGTGTGTTTTTTCTCAGGTGAAAATACTAAAGAAAAAAATTTGTTTAAATTTTCAGTTGCCCTTAGAAAAAACATGTCGTCCCGAGCCACCAGACAACCATGAGGGTACAACCCTGGTATTTGATCGCAAGCGGCACTAGAATTAAATAGTTTTATGCATATTTTGAAAAAATATTAGTTTATTTTTATAAATTGAAATTTTTTATAAAAAATACTTATATTGTAACATGTCATATCGAAAGTTTTCACAAACTGACCAAGGTAAATATAGTTAAGAAGAAAAAAGTTCCTACCTTTCTTTTTATTAAAACCCCCTGTTCATTAGATCTGAACCAAAAAAAAAAAGTTCTTTACTGATTCCCATTCTATGTAACCTAAATAAGTAGTATAAAAAAATTGATGGTTTTATTTTGACAGGAAGTGCTAGATGTAAAATCTGAGTTTTACTGTTTTAATGTTAAGCTAGGTTAACATTAATAGAAAACACAATTTTTTTACATTTTAGAAAACTAAAACGAAACAATTAAATGCGTATAAATCATTTACAATTGTTGTAACTTGATAAATTATATTTATAAATATGAAAAAAAATTTAAAAAAATACACGAAAACTAATATTTATTAGCAAATTTAAGATTTATTGCGGTGAAACATTTCTCAAAAAATACAACTTTTTGAACCGTTCCCAAGCTCCTTTTTAGTCATACTCTTAGTCAAGTTTTTTGTAGACTTTTTAACTACAAAAAGTATATTTTGAAGGTGATTTTCATCTCTAGTAACCAGGGTTGGCATTAAAAAACCCGCCCAATAAAACCCAAAAAAACCCAATAAAACCCTGGAAAATCTGGGTTTTATTGGGTTTTTTTAAAGATATTTAATAAGTTTATGAACTATTATAACCAACTTTAACATTATAACTATAATATTATTAACATAAATAATTACTAAATATTATTATTAACTAAATTATTATTAACTATTATTATTAACTATTATAACCAACAATAACAGCTATAAGAGCAGGTTTACTATTATTTGAATCAATTGAGATTTTTATTACTATGTTATTCACCTCCCAAGTTGATATTTAATAAGTTTATGAACTATTATAAATGAGTAGTAGTGACCAGAGAAGCCAACACAACAGTCGAGGAGGCTACCTTGTTGTGGTTACAATCCTGTCAGGATGTAGATCGCATCTTCTAAAAACCTTGCCTCATGGTCTCTCCTTGGACCATTAGTTTTCTCACCAGTAAGGCAGCCATATAGTGAGATACATATACTTCATATGTGTCTCCTACATATTATCCACAAAATTGGTATTTTCAAAATATCCGTAAGAATTAGGACTGATCCATTGACTCCACCTGTAATGCTTGCAGTTGTATCACAGCATATACCAATGATCTGCTCATTACATCCGTAATATTCTAAAAGATTGTGCGCTTGTTTTGCTTATTCAAATTCCTTTAAAGAGGGACATTGAACAACACCTAAAAGATGGTCCATGGTATCGCCCATCCGGGGAACTCACTGAGACTGCAAGTTGCTCCATTTTTTGAATAATGTTAAGCCAGTGGTAATTTGTTCCAACAGTTTGGTATCAAAATGAAGAATAAGCGATCAACCTTTAAGATGATTAGATATTGAAATCCACTCCAAGTCTCCTTTAAGTTCTACATATTTTAACTTTTTTCTAAGAAGTGTGCTTTGTGAAAGCGGTATATCATTAATTTCTATACCTCCAGCTTTAAATACCTCACTTAAAATTGCCAGATGAGGTCCATCACCAACATTGAACCTTGTTGCTGGAATAGCAGTACATTCAATGAGCTTTTCAACATTCACTGCTAGATTTATCCTCTCTCCAGAATCCTAGATATCATTCATACTTTTCTACCTATTTATAATTATACTTTTCAATAAAACAGTTTTAGCTTGTGAAAGTTACAACTATGTTAAAATAATACTATACCTGCATTTCCGATCGTTATTCAGAAAATCTTCTTCCTCGCTGATTTCAGAATCCTCGTTTGGCTTTTCTTCTTCACTGCTGAATTGAATCTTCCCTGTCATGGAGTCATGTGACAAAAAAACATTATGGATATCTTTTACGTTTTTCTGTCTCTCTAATTCTTTCTCTCTCAACTTATCTAGCTTGTTCTTTCTCCTGTTTGCATCCAGTACTCTCCTACTGTCTTCGTCAACATTTATTCCCATATATCCTTTCCTATCCAACTTTTGGTCTTTACTTTCCTTTACAACTTTTTGTCTTTTCCTATCCAACTTTTGGTCTTCATAAAAACTAAGAAATAGTTAATTCTATTAAGACATTTATAAATAAATTAATATTTGTTCTAGTTTTTCTTGGAAGATGACCATACCATGGAAGGAGTTACACGTAAATATTTTAAAGGAAGTAATATGCTATTACTTAAGTTAATTTAAATCAGAAAAAAAATCTCACTACTAAAAAAGTGTTATTTAATGAACTTACTTTATATCTTCCATCATCTGTTCTCAATCTATCAGCAAGAATATCTTTTTTAAATTCTTGGAGATGTCAAAAAGCTTTTTAGTCGTACTCTTGGTCAAGTTTTTTGTAGACTTTTTAACTACAAAAAGTATATTTTGAAGGTGATTTTTATCTCTAGTAACTGAAATAAAATCTTTAATGAGCTTAATGTTTCTTTCTGCACCATCATTTACAACTGATATGTTTTTGATCCATGCAATAAAATCTAGCAACTGAGGATGGTTAAAAACATCTATAGTATAAGACTATTATTGAGCCATTCTTTTATACTTGCTCTTGATATTTTAAAATGTTTGAAGAGAAGGTATCTTTGCTCGGAAATCAACTCAGGTAGCTCTGATCTGGTCTCTCTAATTTGTACATTTGATGGTTTACAATGCTGAAATTCATTTGGCTCTTCAAACTCAATCAGAATTTGAAGAGCCAAATGAATACCCTCTCGTATCATATTTTATCTAAGTTTACCGTTAAGGCTTTTATAACCGTTTACACAAGAATTTCTTCGTGCACAAATTAGAATTCCTTCGAAAAAATTACTAAACAGAGTTATTTTTATTATTAGAAAAAATTTCTAAATAGAGTTATTTGTGAACCAATCCGTGAGGAATTATACCAACTAATAATATTGTCCATAGGTAATTATATCAATTGCTAACAATGTTCATAGGGAATGATCCTATTCTTTAATAATGTCCTATGGGAATTATTTGTGTACCAATTGTTACATATTAAAACCTATTGAAATACTAGATAGCGCTGTTTTTATGTAAATACACATGTGTACAATACCGTAAAACTCAGAATTTATATCTATCACTTTTAGTCATTAAAAAATAAAAATAAAAGATTTTGGTAACTATTTAGGACCTATAGAATGGGGATCTTGTGCTGAAGTTTTGAGTCCTATTATTGCTCAACTAACTAACCTATGATTTAAATCTGGAATTTTCCCAGCCTCATACAAAATTGCCCAAATAAAACCAATTCCCAAAAATCCAGATCTAACTGATTTTGATACTACCAAACTAAACTCTATATCACTCTTTATAACTTTAATCTGAACACTATTTCCAAAATTCTTGAAAAGCTTGTTTTATCTAGACTTCTTCCACATATAACTTCCTCTAAAAACTTCAACTCTTTACAATCTGGTTTCCAACACAATCATTCAATTAAAACAGCACTCATCAAAATTTGCAATGGCAACCTATCCTCCTTTCAATGCAAAATTTGCAATGGCAACTACTATCCTCCTTTCCTTAGACATATCAGTAGCCTTTGATTCTATTGATCACAAACTACTAACAGAGCGTGCTAAAAACAAATTTGGTATCACAGGAACTGTAATCGAATGTATCACAGGAACTGCAATCTTCATTCCTTCATAATCGAAAAACCTTTGTTTCTATTGGAACAACAAAAT